TAAAAAAAAAAAAAATGACAAAGGATGAACTGAAGCTCTGCCATCACGTAATGTCGCATACTGCTGTTTCTGATGTCATTTAAAAAAAAAAAAAAAAAAAAAAAAAAAAAAAAGAACAGAGCAGAAGCATCGATTTCTCATCGTGTTAAATGCTCTGCTCCTGCTTTCTCGTGTCTTGGATGGAAGGTGAGGAGAGCAATGCAAAAATGCAAAGAGGGGATAGCATACATGGGAGTACACAATGCACCTCAATTTCAATGAGTGATTTTTGCTGTTTTTTTCCACTGACCTAATAACCTAACATCAAATATAAAACGGGCAGTAACACAACTCATTTTGTTTATTTGTTTTGTTTTTTAAGCTCAGAGTGAAAACTAAACTAGGAAAGAAGGATTAAAAACATTTGTAACAACAACAAAAACAACGCTATGCATGATCCAAGCTCCCGAGCAGCAAACATTACTGACCAATTTACCAAATTATCACAAAAATACAGAATATTTAGCTTTTAGTCAGATGACAAAATACATAACCTTTACAATCTTTAACTCACTGACTCAGCATATATACACACACATAGTGAGTCACAGTAAAATTTAGTAAGTTTGATTTAAAGCTTGATTAAAATTGCATTTAAGCTGCACCAGAATCCCCTTTTGCTGAAAACACAGAGAGCATGCAACATGGCAGTGCCCTTGATTATGCTATGCGCCGGTTTACATGGAGGGAACCCAAGTGAAAGCACAAAGACACATGATTTGCACTTCCTCTACATCTGATCACCACATTGTTAAACTGCAGCTTATTAACAACCAGAGCTGCTACCAGATCACAATACTGCACATGTGCAGTATTAGTCTCCATATTCTAGCCACACCACTGCATAAAAGTGAAGGGTTGTTTTTTAAATATAAATAATATATAAATCAGTTTTTCTAAACTAATACACTGACAAGATGAAGTCCACAAAACACAGACAACTGAGAAATGGACTACTTAAAAACCACATACTTATCCATCTGCAAAGCCTAGGACATAAATTATTGCTTGTTTGCCCTAAAGCTATTCCAAGCAATATTTTTGCACTAATAGATCCTGACACTTCTGAGAAATCTCTTTTAAAGTACACTTATCAACCTGAAGTTGATACAGTTTTGGCCTCTACTTCAGTTCCTCTTTATGTGTTTTTCAGTACAACTACACCCTATTAACCTGACTTCTAAAAGAAAAAAAAAAAAAGACAAAAACAAATATGTCCCAAAAAGAATTTCAGTATTTAAGCATCTTCTACATCTCGAGACTGTCCCAACAGAGAAAAAAAAACAAAACAAAACCCACCATAGCAGAGTGACTTGTAACAACTGAGAAACCTGCCTGTCAGCCTACATTTTCATAAGCAGGAGAAGATATCCAAGCTCAAAGACAACTGCTAATATTTGAGCATATGGACAACAATCATTTCTACTACTGGCAGTTCATAACAGCTATCGCTGGACTAAACAATAGCTGTACTTCCACTGCAATTAGGAAGGTGAAGTCTAAACACGAGCTGAGGAAGTAAGCATCAATAATTCATGAGTAGACAGCATCCTTATGGTATTGTATATGGAAATGCTAAAAACGGCTCCGACAGCAGTCTCGGCTGTCGCGTCACTCTCTGTGCTGACCTGCATGTCTTTTTCAAACTTTTAAGTCTCCACTATTAACGGAGGGTGTTAAACCAGGCAATCTCATGAAGTGAGAAAGAACATTAGTACAGAGACCTGCTGAAAAGATCGTTTTCCCCATGCTGACTAAATATAGTGTGAATATTTTTCTTCTGCAAATGCAGTTAAAATTCACAGATTGGTATCCACAACAATAAATGGTGAAATGCTACTTGAACTTGACTATAAATAGCATGGATGCAGTGGAAACACATCTGAGTAAACCCAGGCTAGAATTACATAACACAGAGGCTTGAAGAAAATCCAGTCGCTCTCTGTGGTAATCTGCCCTGCAAAAATTCTCTCTTAAGATTGCCCTTAAAATTTCTCCTTGAGTTCTTTAGAGGCTATAAAGAGCATGAAAAATGATGGAGAAAACTTGACCAGACTTTTCTCCTTATAAAGTTTGCCTCGTATATAAATTAAGGCCAAACTTTTTCCATCGCAAACTTTCCCCATCTTTGAATTTTCTGAAACTCTGAGCTGATTACATTTTCAAAACCCTCAAAGAGCTCTTATTAGCGTTTTAGACTTCAGAGAAGCGGCTATGTCCGACCCCCTCCTTCTTATGTTCACCTCGTGGAACAGAGTAGATGGGAGAAAGGGGAGAAACGAGGAGATGATGTTCGGAGGGAAAGATAAGCAGGGAGGGAGGGATGGACCTCAATATTCATATAGTTATAGATGCCAAGACTGACTATTACGATAATCAGACATGAGTCATTATGGCCTTTCCAGGCAGCTACATTTGGTTCTCTCTGGGTTTTTTTGCGCGATTCATCTGCAAATTAGCACAAGCTTGCACAGTCATATTTTTGTAATAAACACAAAATAAACCTTTATTCCCATTTCTAATATTTTCTGCATTACTTAAAAAAAATTTATGTTTTAGATGAACTTCAAGTGAAACAATTAACTCAATTTCATACTTTGTTTTGTGTATTGCATTCAACATATAGTATAGTGAGATCAGTAGGTGGCAAACAAGCAGCTTTTTTTTTTTTTTTTTTTAAATTGTCAAGTGTTTTTATTGTGAAGTTACACAGACTCTTCCTTGCCCTTAGTTCAAAGTGACCTACCTTCCGTAGCAGGTGGTGAGGCTCTGCAGCTTGGCCACTTGACCTCTTTGTGCATACATCTGTGTTTAAGTCTGTCAAGATCACAAGCTGCGGCTACAACTTACTCCACCGACCTTCCTGTGTGTGACATTTACTACAACCTCACCGCAAACACAAACCACAGGCAGCGAAGGTCAAAGCCTTAATAGGCCCCTCACTCTTTAACATCTTTTAAAAGCCACTGCCTGTCTAACTACCCCGTTTCCCTTTCATCTGTTTTTCTACATTTCATTCTCCCTCTTACTCGCTCACACACTCTCCCTTGCCTAAAGTCACTGCCAGCTACAGTCACAGTAACAAATGCGTCTGGGCTTTCTTCCAAGAGCTTGGCCGACTGATCCATCTCTTAAAAGCTTCCGTTGCCAAGGAAGAGCCACTCTTCAAACTCTCTCTTCTTCTGTCTCAGTTTGTTTCCTGCTCTCCGTAATCACCACAGCATGTAGTGCACAGTTTATTTACCAGAAACTCCACACCACACACACTACACACAGTGGTTCTTAAAGAGATTAAGAGAAATAAGGCGTGAGTGACAAGTTTGAGTGAACACTTTTCTGTGCTTGTCTAACTCACTTTAATTTAAGCCTGCTGTCCAAAATTAAGATTTTCTGGTTGTGTAGTGTCAAAATTGACAAAAATCACACCATGGAAAGTGTTATCCAACATGTTCTTAGAAACACTTGCGCAAAACAACTCCCGTTTGATACAATTTCTCTACCCACAGGCGAAATGTGGAGTCACTTGCTGAGACACCAGTTTCTGAGACTGTTCTCAGAAAAGCCTCGTCTCTCCTGAGAATTTAACATCCTACATTTTTCAGACCAGTGCAGTGTTACGTCTTATTCTCACGCTGAAAACTGACCAGAACAATTCTCGCTGAACAGAGCACCTTACCTTTGCACTCCTGAGGTTTGTTTGTGTAATTTTTGATCATGTGGTCACACAGGCTTAGTTATTTTTAGACATGGCTAGATTGCCTTTAAATCACTGTGCATTTCCTCACTGGCCCCTGTCAAACACCATAATCAGTGTTTTCCATAGATAATCACTTGCCTCTCTAATCAACCAAGTAGCTTGTCCATATGACAGGAGACCCATGCATTTGAGGATTTAACTTGGTACTGTTGAGAACACTGAGGTTAAGTGGGGAGCACAGATACGTTTACCTGACAGAGAGGGTAAAATCCCCCGGGTTGCTCTTGCTCGGCCGGGCCAGAAAACTGCCGTGGACTCCCCGGGTCAACAGGAGCTGCTCTGCCTCGATTCCGGTAATGTTGGGGTGAAACCACCTAAATATTTGTGCACAAAGAAATGGCAAAAAACAAAAGACTAATCAGTGCATATATAACTGCCATACATATTCGAGTATTTTACATCAAAAACGTTGATGGACTTGCAGTGCTTTACCTCCATTGGTGTACAGACCTGTTATATAGAGTGGTCAAAATGGATGTACTGTAAAACTGGCATTTGCCTACAACAGTTTATACAACACTGTACAAAAACTCTATTGATTAATTCATCTATGTTTTATATGACTGCTTTCTGCTATCATGACACTGGTGGACTAGCATACAGTGTGCCTTATTTAAAAAGTACACGTTCTTCCTTGATGAGTCAATGAATACATACAAACTGTATGTCCTGTTCTGGTTTGAAAAGGAAGGACACCAAAGTTTACAGTTCTGCAAAGCCAAAGCTAATAATTGCATGTTACTTCCTCTCTTGCCAAACATGACAGACAATATTTATCCAGACCATTTCTCAGGTACAGTTAGAAGAAAAATGATCATGAACACTTTGGGTTCACCATGATTGCAGAATTGATTTCTAACAGGAATACAACATGTAGTGTGGGCTTCACTTAGGTGGCAATATGGAAATAGTTTGGCTGAACACAAATATACATTTCATGCTTCTTGAACTCACTGTGTAATCAGTCAGTGAACACACTGAAAAAAAGCAAACTCTTGAATTTAGTGACTCATAAAACCCCCACTAATAACAACCACCACCATCAGATGTTTCCTGTTGTTGCTTTTGAAACCATTTCTGGAATATTTTTGATTAAACATGTTTCTTCAGCTTATGTCACAACATGTGAACTGGGTTATGTTCAAGCTTAAGAGTCCAAACATTTTCTTCTTTTATAACCAATGTGTACTTGAAAAAAAAAAATCTTTTACGGTTTAATTACTAGTTCTGTTGCTGATTACAAGGCCCTGAAGTATCCTCAAAGCATGATGCTTCCTTCATCATGCTTTGCATTTAGGATGAGATTTAAGTGTTAATGTGTAGCATAACTTCAACTCTCTCATCTGTTCATGGAACACATCCAAGAAAGGTATGAAATAATTCAGTTTATTTCTAGAGGTGTGATTTCCTTTGTAGGTTTTGTCTATCAAACATTTCTTATTCTGATATCGTACTGAATATTCTCCACTTGTAGACAGTTTGCCTTTCTCTTAGTGATTAATACGTCGGTTGTTAGAAATGCATTTGCAGCCTTTTGCAGTTGTGCATTTCAATAACGCTTCATCTAATAGCTGTGAAAGTTGTGATCGATGCACCAAACCTTTTTGTTAAGGAAAGCAGACTTTATAAACAAATGAAAAATACAACTCCTTGTGTGTCATTAGTATTAAAGAGGCAGTGAGAAGGTAGTGCCGTAATGTCCCAGTGAATGGCTGTATATCAGCTGTGTGGATTTAGAGCCCATGTTTAAGCAGGGATCATTGGGTTAAACCTCCCCAACTACTGTGTGCCATTGCCGGCTAATCCAACGCACCACTAGCCATCCAGGACTGCATTATTGTATCAAAGTACAGAGAGCTGACAAAACTGACATGAAATAGAATAAATAAACAGTACTTTGTGGTCCATCATGGGTGACACAAAAAGTTGCAGTGGTTCAGTGACATAATCACTTTTAAAAACGGACTCCAAAAACCGTGCCTCTTTCAGAAATGTCAACACATTTAGCAAGAGCGTAAAAGCTCTCCAAACTTCACTGATAACTCTTCCTATAATACATGAAATTCATTTCTCGGCCCACAAACTACTAATACATGATCAGAGGTTGAGCAACGAAAACTGGCACACAGGTACAATCTCATCTGGATTAGATATTAAAAAAAACTTTCCAAAATGAGTATGAATCCTAAAATAAAAAGGCATTTCACAAAAGTGTCACATGACTTCAGGTACCCAAGATTTTGAAAATTATTGAAAAATGGTGATATCTATCACACGTCTTTGTCAATATATATTAATCTCTGCACTGTAGTTCAAGTCCCAGCAGACAATCTTTCAGTGCTATATAGTCAAAGGAGACATTCAGGAGTCAAGTCCTCCAAGAGAAACAACAGTGTCAAAACAGAGACCTCGTTACTTACAATAAAGTGAAAAAAATTTATACACATGAATAAATTACCATTATTGTGCACATGATCTAGCACTTGGCAACAGTATAACCAAGACTTCCGGGCACGACACCAAAGGTTATATATTAATACTTTGAAAACCAAGTGTTCTTCACTCCCACTGCACACAGAGAATATGAATTGGACAATCATTTAACTGCATTATTCCTGAGAAGATAATATCTGAAAGCTTTAACAGCGGGCGAGCATTTAGGCGTTGCCGTTTTTGTACACTGTATGACACAAACTCATGACAGTAGGATAAAAATAAAACTCATGTGTCAGCTCAGCAGATCTTGTGTCACCTGAGAGCAGCAAATACACATGAGAATACTTTTGTGGTCACTGCTATTGCAGGGTCTGAATCTCAGCTCGAGTTATGCGACACAGTGCTTTCTATTAATTTCCTTAATAACTTGAAACCACGGTAACGAGGATAGTAAAGCCTAAAGCCCCAAGAGCAGGCTTACCTAACTTGAGGAGAAAAAAAGTATCAAATTTAATACATTTTAAAAGGATGAAATTCCTTTTATACACAGTCTTAGATATTGATTTTTATTTAAGTCACGAAGTGAAACTGACAGCATCTACACCACAGAGTAGCCTGACCTGCTATGACAGTGGAGAAACATGAGAAGAGTGTGGGAGAGACAGGTGGGGTGAGAAGCAGACAATACAGGTGCAGGGGTAATGATGCCAAATGTAAGGGCGTGATAAATGACAGAAACTAACAACCTTGTTGTTGTTGTTATTCTTGTGTGTGTTGGGCGGGGTCTTCAATGTAAACAGACCAGTATGACATAAAAACCTAAAATTTATAAATTCATGTGAACAGAGACTCATGTCCAGTGAAAATGAGACCCTCAGCCAAGACCTGAACCTGACCACTTGCAGCTAACAGACCACACCAGCCATCTGACAGACATCTGACCCAGACTAAACCTGGCCTCCCTCTTTAACTTTACCGGGGGGCAAAGCAGCACTACAACACGTTCATGCTAGCAGACAGATCATAGGGGAGACTTTACAACTAACTTGGAAATGTTTACATGAGGATTTGTCATAAATACGTACAAGAGTAGAGGGTGAACTGGACAAGGCATTCCTTGTAGCATTAAATATCTCTGCAAGCCTATTGGGGATATTAAACATGGACAGACAGGAAATGACTCAAGGGCAGTGGGAGACTGATAAAAGTAATATCTGAAATACTTAACGTAGCACATTCATCTGGCCGAGTATGTTGTCTCCAGATAGCAAAAAAAATAAATAAATATATTATAAACAGGAAAACTGTTACGGGCAACACAATAACGATATTCCCTTTTAAATATAATCAAACTTTCAGGCTAAAAGAGCCTATTGAAGAATTGTTTAAGGTTAATTTTCATTTTTGCCTTCCTCCATACATGTTTGTCATGTACTGTTCAATTCAACAAAAAGTTGTTAGAACAAAACCTCAAAAAGACGGCCCAATTAACCAAGTTCTTTAATGTTTTTGGTACTGATGATAAAACACAGCACTGAACTGTTATGGTTGAAATTAGTCCAATAGATTCTTTTTTAAACTTTTTAAAACTTTAAATATATAAATAACAATATAAAAACTAACTATATACAGTTCTCTGTGAATTATTTAGGCAACTATAGTAAACATACTTTCAGAATCAAAGCAATGACCCATTTATATGGATTAAATGTTGCACGCAGGAAAGACAGCTAAGGTTAAGACAGCACCCAGTCTTGAGATTGAGCGACTCTTCCCAGCATCTTTGAGAACGCGTCAGGGGACCTCACTACACATATAGTATTTTTCACACAAATATTACTTGGGAAGGCTGTGCAAGTATGTATGGTGACTTATTTTAGGATTTTATTATTTTTATTTCTTTGGCCATCTAAGAATACAATGGATAATTCCCCCCACCCCCACTCTTGTTTTGAATATTCAGCTGCCCCTCTAGTGAGTCTCTCATCCTACTGTTAGTCTCCAGCTTCACCATACTGAACTACAGCTGGTGACAACAGCCTTTATACTTCCCTGGGGATCCGCTTAGAGAGCAATGCTAACCAGCAACTGCAGCAGGCTGAGAATTGGTTTATATATTGCGACAGAGACTGTAGAGCAGAACAAGAACGACAGTGGCCAGCTGGAGTCCAAGTTGCTGGAGCTGGAGGCCATCAAATGTAATGTAAGGTAATGTAAAGTAAATGTAAGTGTGACTCACTTGACAGCTAAATATTTTTAATAATAACTTCAGAAAGTGCAGGAGTACATTTTTCATCTGTAATTCAAGCTTTCATTATTTTGTTACAAATTAGATTCCTTTAAAAAAAATTTAAAAAAAGCCTGTGGTTTTTGAGTGTGCTGGTAATTTTCCTTTTGCCATGAGAGTAAATTATTTGTAAGAGCATTTAACCAAACATTTTTGTATCATATCATGTTACTTATTTAGGGATGGGAATAGTTACAAGCAGAGCCGGCCAGTGCCTTTAGGTTACTAGAACGAGGAGCCAATAACAGGTCATGGGTGGTGGACAGATTTGTGGTATTGTTTTTAATCCTATGCAGATTTATACTGAAAATAAAATCAGTGGGACACAAATACCTTATGTCATTAATCCATTTCTAATCCATCAGAGCATGTCTGCAACTCCACAAGTTATCACAACAATAGAAATGGGCTGGACCAAATATCGCTGACAACAGAAGCAATTACAGCAGACTGTTCACTGTGCCAGGTTTACAGAGGCAAGAGTGCACCTCCCCCTCTGTGCTAATACAAAAAAAAACCCCAAAAACAATACAAAAACCCAAGACACAAACAATTCAACAACATTTGTAACAACTAGAGTGTACTTCTAACCTCTTAACTTCACATTGACTCATTGCATCAGTTATGTCAAGGCAATATTGCATTTGTATGCACACATTAAAAAAAAAAAGTTATTAACTGCCAGGTCTCCACAATCCACATGCTTTCAAGTTTCCATGTTATACTTAAATTCTTTCTTCAATGCATTTAATTAATAAAAACTATAGATATAAAGGCATTATTAAAAGGAAGAGGATGTGCTAAAGCAGGGTTAGGGACATTCCTATTGAAAACAAAAAATAAATAATACAAGACAAGCTGAATGGGATCATTTCTGCCCTACCTCACCATTGTGGTCGAAGCTTGCCACAGCCCCTTGCTTCAGCAGCCTCAGAGCTTAGTAATCCAGCACTGGGCACTGTTACACAAGGGAGGGTGGGAGGGAGAGAAGGAGATATAGAGACGAAAGCGGGAAGGGTGTAAAAAAGTGTTAAAAGTGTTACTGGGTTAGACTGAGTGAGACAGAGACGACAGAAGTGGAGGGGGTGCTTTGTAAGAGTGTGTGAGAGAGAGTGAGAGAGATAATGTGCAAGAGGAAGAGTAGACAAGGGGGAGGGGGGCTTTAATCTGGGATTTGGATGAGCATGAGCGGGCCTGATACCAGCACCCGTCAGTGCTATCAGCAGCCCCACGTCCCCACCCCCTCTTCCCTCCTTTGCCACCTTAGATGAACGTGACAGGCACTAGCTGACTGGTAAACCACCATCTGCCGTTCTCCCTTCAGTCTCACTTTCTGTGCCCCAGTTGTACCCTCAGAGGTCAGAGGGTCTCACGCTAGAGTTCACTCTGATCCTAAAGCTAATAGAGCCTTCTCTGGCTATGGGGTCCTCACCATCTTGTCTGAGGCTAAATACAACAGCTGTGTTGCCTGTGCCTGGAGATTAAACATGCCGTAGTTACACCAGATCATAGTTAGTCATCGCCAAGCTAAAGCCCTCAATCCAGCCAATTCAGCAGTATGCCATTAGCCTATTAATTTCACATGGGTGGGTCAGGAAGCTTTACACATGAGTTAGAAAATAAATGCAGAGAACAAAAGCTGCAGTTCAAATCTTAACTACCTTACAGTGAATTTTAGATTGTACAACAATCTGAAAGGACCTGTATAATCTGACTGAATCTACTTTAATTATTATCAGTCTAGTATCTACAAATACTATTATGAATGCAAACTACTTGGGGTTAAACAAATAACCACCTAAAGAGTGACTAATAAAACAAAGCACCTGTAACCACATAAGCTGCTTTGGGAGTTTGTAAATATCATCCCAAAGACAAATTCATACTTTGCTCTGTTCACAGTGTATGTGGGATATGCAGTCAGAGCTATAAATGTGTGTGCAAAAACTACACACCATTTTAGGGGTTAGGTAGTCTAGTAGAAAACCATTGAGATTCAAAGCTGCCCAATTTATCTCATGAGATCCTAGTACTACTTTTCTTCTGATGCCCATAGATTCATGTTAAGTTTGAAGATTTAAAATGTACAAATGAAAGCATTAAATTACAGACACACTAGCAGAATAATGCGCAATAAAGTGCAAAATTATCTCCTGATCACAGCTTCTTACATACCAGAAGTATGTCAAATTGTAAATATCTTTCCAAGGGCCACTTTAAAACTGACAATTAAAAATTTTCATCTTTATACAATGTTAATTCCCTGCTTTAAAAAAAGAAAAGAAAAAAGTATGTAACGGCCACATTGTTACAGTAGTACAGCACACATCTAAACTCGAGAGACTACTTCAAAGCAACTCCCCTACTAATGAAAAACGATGTCCCCAAAATTATGTTGTCTAAGATGAATTTATATAGGAGTGAATTCTGAAAAGTCTTGAAAGCAAACTCAACAGCATGCCGCGTCTATAAAGCCTTATCCATATTCTCTACCAGCCTCGTTCATGACTACAGGAGTGACTCAGGGCTTTCCAAGAATAGGATTGCCTTTGACAACCACCAGACGCCCCATTTCCCTGCATCTGGCCTTGGGCAGTGAGGAGAGGAGATACAACACAATGAGAATGAGATTTCAAATAGTCTGGTATACATCTGACGAGATGTCGACAGGAAAGTAGAGGTAAAAAGTGGTGGTACTGTGGGAGAGACGGGGGCAGCTGGGAGCTGCAGGTTAAGCCTTGGGCAGCTTGTGGGGAAACAAGCCTAGTGTGCATCCAGCCACCACTCTATCCTCTTACATAATGTCTCATGTTCAATATAGGCTATTTAAAGCATGCCTGTCTAGGCCTGCTGACAAAAAGGTGATATACTTAGTAGCCACAGTGCAGCATGAAAGCCTCTGCTAGGACTATATTGGTCACAGACAAGCCTGGGGTGTGGATTTTGGTAACACTGCAGTTATTTTTAGCCCTGCTGATGATCTGGAGTATTTACATGAGGTGAAAAACCCACTTCAATAATTCCCTTCTGTGTAGAACAAGTCCTTTCAATGTAGTAGAAAATGCAGAATAAGAAAAACTGTGCCCACGTATGAATGAAAAAAACAAAACAGCAACGTTACTTACACATACAAGCCAAAACATAACTCACTGATTACAAAATTGCCTGTTGTGATAAGCAAAACTGTTAAAAATAACTGAGGGCAATCATAATTCTCTAAGCACGCAAAAACAAGTTATACTGTAGCACAGGGGATAGAGTTTTACATCAACTAAATAGGACTTGGGAAGCTCTCGGTAAAAGCACCAAACATTAGTGGTTAATCAATAACTTGTGTTTTTTTCCACAGACATATGCAAGCCTCTTTTTTTAAACCATATAGAAATCACAGAAGCAGATATGGAAGGCAATTACTATAATCACTAAATGCCAGATTTGTCACTGTGAACGGCAAAAAATATGTAGAAAAAGCAATTCTAAATGCCTCGCATTTTATCTTTAAATAACAAAATGGTAATATAAAATGGTTTATGAGATATTCTCTCTCACACTACAATAAAAGCAAACAAATTTAAAGGGGCTTAACAGTTTATAAGGTACTGCTCACTGGCTTGCTTTAGGCATTTATTCCAGAGGAAAATGTTATCAATCACAAGCTTATCATTTAATGCAAATGCAGCCTGTGCTGATACTTTGCTAAGATTTACTGCACCTCATTTTACTATGCAAAACCCAGGGAATGCTAGTTTAAATGTAATTCATGTTTAAGACCTGTAAGCTTGAAATAGGTTGGCGGTTAACACTACATAGATTCATATTGCACACACGACTTTCTGCATGTTTTAATCCACATTTGCTAATGTTCTACATGTCTAACAGACTGCAGGATCACTTGGCTGATAAGAAAATTGGTAACTGGTTGATATGCTTAGATTGAAATCTGTCCAAATTAAGACAAGCATAGCTAACACGGCAGCAATGAACAGACATGTGGGATTTATCTTTCTATCAAATCCCCAGTCTGCTACAGTGTCAGTGTGAAACGTTATAGTTAGATGGTTAATATTAGTCAGAGGGGAGTCACTGACTAATCTTCTCCAGCTTACCTTTTACCAGAGAAAGCACTTTTTAACTGAATCATGACATAAGCGTGACTAATATTCAAAGTCTGCTATCTACAGAGAGAAGTGGTAGCGGTGGTATTAACCTGATCAAAGCTGAGCTCGGATTTGCACAACTATGAGTCTGGGAGGAATGAGGCTGTGATACGTTAGACATCAAATATTTAGCATTTACCTAAAAAAAAAAAAACCAAACAAACAAAAAAAAAAAGATGTCCCTTCTGCTTTTTAAGCAGGTTACCCTTAAATGTGGGATTCAAAGACCGCAGGCATGTAATGTTTTGTCTAGTGTAGTCTATTAGCATTGTTTTGAGCCTGAATAAATGAATAAAATAAAAGCATGTATCTGGTTTTAAAGAAAAAAAAGTGTGTTCAGAGCACTCATGGAAATGTTGGCAGTGCTATCTTATTCCTCCACATGGGCTGTTGTTTTCCTGTCGGCTTATCGAAAAAACTGACTCACTGTTCTCAGCTGGTCAAATGAGTTTCAGTGACAGACGAGGTCTGTTCCATAAACAAAAGAGGGGCAGAGGTGGTTTCCAATAGTGGAAAGAGTTTGCAACACAGACGCAACTGGCAAAACAGAAATGGAAGTGCGATGTAAAGTGATTCATCATTACATCTTTCTCTGGGCCCACAGTTATGCTGAACTCATTACAATGACTTATGATTGTTAAATTTATGGTACAGTCACAATGAGGGACAGTACAGATCGTTCCTTTATGATTTAACCGCCACAGACCTGCAGTGAAATAATAACAAAATACATGGAAACTCCGGACCGCCACAATATTATTATGAACTAAAACCCTTCCTGATATGGGGTGTCGGAGTAATATCATCAACAACAGAGTGGGTTGGTTAGATGGCACGTATTGTAGTATTGTTCCCCTGTGGTATTTCAGCTCAGGAAGTTCAGAACAGAGCTGCGGAGCAGCAGTCATACACTGCAAAAACTCAGAATCTTAGCAAGTATATTTGTCTTGTTTCTAGTCAAAATAATCTTATCACAAGACAAAATGAACTAAAGGGTAACATCCCAGTAAGATATATTAACTTGTTTTTAGACAGTAGATCTTGAAACTAGAAATTTTTCACTGTTTTCACAGTGGCAAAAATATCTTGTATTAAGTGAAAAAATCTGCCAATGGAACAAGTGAAAATTTTCTAGTTTCAAGATCCACTGTCTAAAAACAAGTTAATGTATCTTACTGAGATGTTACTCTTCAGTTGATTTTGTCTTGTTTTAAGTGTGATGAGTTTATTTTGACTAGAAATAAGACTTGCTAAGATTCTGAGTTTTTGCAGTGTATGTAGCTCAACCAGCGGCAAGGCATAGAAACTGGCAGAGATAAAAACCGCTTTAACCTCAGTGCTCAGTGCTTTCTTCTCCTTCCTCTTAGCCTGGTGGCATTGACCTCTAGAGAAATTGGACTTAGTTGCCGCTAGTGTCCGCTAACTAACAATTGTTCATTATGATTTTTGCTAATGTCTGTAAAAATGCAAGAACTTGGCTGCATGAAAAATAATGAACTTGAGCCTAAAAACAGAAACGACAGCATTTTTTCCCCACCCGTGTTGACTGAAGAAATTAACTGGCTAGCACTACTGAAATTCTAGAGCATCACTAGACACAATCTATCCAAAACTAATTTAATCCAGTAATCCGAAGCATATTCAGTGTTTGGGATAAGAGTTAAATTTTAAAGTGAGTTACCAAACTATTACTTGTCTTTTGGTTCCATTTTAACTTGCAGACGTGGTTCATCTACTTTAAGTCTCCATGTGCGCACACGTTGTTTGGTTAAGCTCTTTATGTGTTTATTAAAAACCAAATAAATAACGAGGGGAGGACATCAAACTGAATGGACTCGCCAACATGACCGCAACAGTTTTTTTCCAAACTTTTCCAAGTTTACCATAGATTTCAATTTTACTCAACTGCTTATGCAAAGCTGAGACAAACACCGCACTATTATAAACAAAACTGTGCACGGTGTGTATATTCTCATACCAAGGTCTAACTAGAACTACAAGTGCAAGGGATGCAGGTGCTGCAACATCACCACCGCCATATTTTATTTAAGCAAAAGTTCAACTGTAATGGCTAGTAAATAATATATACTGAAGCATATAGTAGCAGTATGAAACATGAGTTAATATGAAACAAAGCATTAGACGGTTGGCCAAACAATGAAAAGGCAAACTGTGCACAGCTTTAACTCAAGCATGTTTCCACAGATCAGAGCAAATTTATCTTGTAGTGGCGTAGAAAATTATTCATGCTTTTCTACCTGAAAACCTGCGTAACTCAGCTTCAAGCTGTTCAGCCAGACTTCTGAAGAAAACCAGTTGTAACTTCCTGCTTACCAGTTTCTTTTAAAAGGCTACTCATGACCTATAAGGCTTTCCATGGCCCGATGCCAGAGTACAGTAATGAACTCTTAATTCCTTACTATCCAAAAAAAAGCCTCTTAGATCTGCTGGGCTAGTTCTGCTAGCCGTTCCAGAGTCCACATTAAGGTCAAAGGGTGACACAGTGTTTGTTGTACTGGCACCTCCACTTTAATGCAGTCTTCCAGTTAGTACTCAATCTGCCGAAAGAGTTTCTGCTTTGAAGTCCTATCTTAAGACAGTTTTTAAACACACTTGCCTTCTTGTTTGACAACAAGTTTTCTGTTTCCACAATACACCCATAATTTTTAGTTTCTTTTTTTTATTTATTATTCTGCCTTTTGGATGTTTTGTAAAGTTATTTTATATGCTTAATTGTGTACTTGCATATTGCTCGTGTTTTTTCTTTTATTTCACTGATGGTTGTTTCTTACCGTTATGCTGCCTATGGACAGCACTTTGTGTTTGCAGCTTAGAAAAGTGCTGTACAAATGAAGGAGCTGGCTGTTCCCTCATTTCCCAAGAGGTCGCCACAGCGGATGGATCTGCATGTTAGCACAGATTTTCTGCCAGATGCCCTTTCCAACACAACCCTCCCATCTCTCCGGGTTTGGGACCGGTGCTAGTAATACACTAACTCATGCCTTCCCAAGACTGGGTTTGTGTCTCCTCATAGTCTCGAACGTGGAATCTTTCAACTGTAAATACATTTTCTTCATTTTGAAAGTCTGCCACCAATTTAACATGATCCAACCTATCAGTATCAACAGTAAAATCTAGCTGCCAACATTGCATTTTCTTGATTCCACAACAGCCATCATGGGCAAACGAGGGGAAAAACAAAAATGTCAGCAGTCACCTTGTATAGAAAAGCTGTTTCCCCATCTCAAGTCTCTTATAATAGATTAATTTCTCGATAGTATGTGAAATGCCTCAAAAATAACCATAAGAAGAAACTGGAGAGGATCATCCATGAGCAAATCTAACACTTTGCTTACAATAAACCCATTTGTTTTTATAGCCCTTAGTACAGCCTGCCTGCTGCAGTACTTAAATCTTCCCGTCTCAAGCCAGAGAAATCATTCAGGAGGATCTACAAATCATTACTAGTCCACAGATGTACATGTGATCCATATTATGCAGCCCAAGGGGGTTTTTTGTGACATGTCTGCCTCAGTATTAATTCATGGAAAGCAGGCAATCCTGTCCCCATCAAACAGATTAGACTATAAAAGTCGCAGAGATCGTTACAGACAAATACTGTCAGTAAACTAACAACACACGTGTACAATTCACGTACACATTATTAAATCCACTTAGTAATCACAGCTGGCAAAACTTAACCTTTTGTTAATTCTTTTTTTTCCTTCAAAGTTTAGACACAGCATTTTGATGAGCAGTTTCCTTACTGGTATCTCTCTATGTTTTAACCCAAACTCCCATTTGCTGTCGTCTTATATCGTTACCTTTTCCACCTCTGTCAGGATGGCACATTGTGATCTTTGCACGGTACCAACTCTGAGGGAGTATAGCAACAATTTCCTATATGTGTGAAGCCAATTTGTCTTATTGTGGACTGAACAACACCCAGATCTTTAGAAACATATTTAGTCTTTTTCAGCTTTGTGAATCTTTTCTACAATCCTATGAGAGTGTTTCACAAGAACTGCACACCTTCCATGCCTGTATTTATAGGAAAGGACACCTCTAGCACAACTGGCACTTCCAATCTTATTAATTAGATTACCTGACTCCATGTAGCTTTTAGAGAAACTCTTAAAACAAAAGTTCACTTATTCTTCCTCAGTCTGAACTGCCAGTTATTACCAAGTGTGTGCAATAAAGAGATAAAAAAAAAAGTGCGCTGGTATGTGTAATTTTAGTTTATTCAGACTGGCTCTGTCTAGATTTGAGACTTAGATAAAGATCAGACCAGATTTTATGACTAACTCACATAGAAATCACAGTTACTCAAAATGTATCATAGGTGTTTCTTGGAATTCTGTAGTTTTGAAGAGTACCTGAACACTCAGGGACTCAAATTTGTGGTCACCCCAAGCTGACATAGCTTCATTTGATGGATTACATTCACAGGACACTAAACCAGTTTATCCCACTACGCACTCGGAAACAAAGAGCCATGAATGAGGCCATAAAATATGCGTTGTAAAAGACTTGCGTGGGGTGTTAAAAACTAAGGAAGTGTTTGTGTTAATATGAAATATAATAAGGATTTATCAATAAGGATTTGCTTTCTCGGAAACAAATGGGGAAAAAAAAAAATTGCAGTTCTAAAAACAAAATGAAAATGTGAATTACTATAACAGCCTGGAAACAGTGAGGTCCAGGCTTAGGAGCGTTATTTAACTGTAGCAGGTCACGAAATTTGATATAATTTCCAATTTCTTTTAAACATTTAAGCATTTCCAGGCGGGTTAGAGCAGTAAAGTCGGTCTTATATCTCAGAGAAAACTCACATTTAAAACACAAGCCTATAATAGTTTCTTTGTATATAGTTGGAAAGGCGAGGCTTCAAGTAATAACGGGATCTGTGGTACGGGGGGGGGAAAAGTTTAGGCGCGCTGCTCTCGAGCTGGCTGTCTCTCTATCGCTGACCGCTCGTGCAGTGATAATCTGAGAAGGCTCGCGCAGGCTCGCGCGGGCTGTGAAAAATTACAGTGGGATTAGTGACAGTTTAAAAAGCAAACTCCAGCTCACCTGCGAGATGTCATAGCAGTCTCTGAAAGCTGTCAAGTGCCCTCAAACGTTCCCCTTCTGGCTCCGCGGAGTTGTTGTGAACACTGAGAGGATGTGTTGAACCTGCGTGCTGGGCTACACATAACTACCGACACGCCTTCCGGTTTTTACCTTCAAAACAAAGGCCTCATTTAAGGGACGGGGGCGTAAAAGGGAAACCCGGAGCGGATTGATTTTTATGTCAGGCTCTTGAACGAATATTACTTTTGAATTGCAATTTTATTTCGCCTTAAAAAACTAAGATTTCAAGCTTCCACTTCTCTTGTTAAAAAAAATCAAATGATTTATTTATTTTATTATTTCTACAAACTAATTCCGACACTGGTTTGTAGGTGTTTCTTTTGGGGGAGTAGATGTAGAAACCTGTGTAAATGTGGTGCACACCAAACGTCATATCTGACAAACTTCAAGATATTTTAGCCCCAGATTACTGTCTGGAGCTTATAACCAAAAGTAGATCGTTAAGCCCTCACTTCTGAAAAAACACAACAAAAACACCTAAAAACTGCACACCTGTGGCTACTTAACTTAAAACAAGTGGCGTGTTTGCTGCTGTCAGCTGTCATTTCTGTCGCCATAGCTGCTTGTGCTAACTGTTAATGTTTAATATAATTATCAGTAGGAGGATAGTGAAGCTGTAAAGTAACAATATAAAACAGATTTTTTAAACAACTTATTAGTAATCAACCTCTTTTGTCTGCACAATTGTAAAGCTCAACTACTGTCTTTACAGATAAAGCTTATCTATTTGTTTAGCATTAACATACAGATATACACACATACATAAAGAATGGTAGTGCTGGTGGTGCAGGAGTGGAGTAAGCACTGAGGCAGAGCAGCATTGACGTCACCAGCCTGTGGTTATCAGTGGAGGTTAATCTACTAGGGATGGATGGGCTTATGCAATTGTCTGTGAGCTCACAGGCTTCGCATGTATGGATTTGCATTTCCACTGTTTGACCCAGTGTTCTGCTGCATCCTGCAGACAAACAGAGATGATAGAGTGGGAATTTCTGCTCTCTCTGGAATTTCTAGTAGACGTCTCTCTCTCTTTACCAGGTGCTGTGTGCTTCAGGCTGTATGAATGGGTTTGAACGCAGTTTATTGTTGAGGTGCGGTGATCAGTTGAAAATTATCCCGCCGCATTATGGGGAGGACATTACCTAATGATCGATACCTTGGTGGAAATTCATGAAGACGCTGAGAAATAACTTGTTTTAGTGTTAAAATTGAGCGAGAGAGACTTGAAAAACAAAGTCATTAGCATTTATTGGCTGGGATGCCCTTTGTATATTTTGTGCTGCACCTCCAGGTGCATATTTTAGTAGACAAGTGGTAGAAATTGACTTTGGCTTCTGCATGTGTTGGCGAACACGATCAGTCAGGCTTAAGAGTTTGTGTGTGATTTGTGTTGGGAGGTATTACAAATAGCTGCACTCATTCAGTTTTTATCACCCTGCAGACCCAGTGTCCTGTTGAATCTAGAGGGGGGTGTAAATGGACCTGAGAATACAAAGCCCAGTTTCCCTCGGGGCCTGGAAACCAGGATGTCCCCTCTACCCTGAGGCGGCTGCTTCTATATGCTAATGACCTTTGACCCCCATTTTTGCCTTGAGACTTGCAAATCTGCCTGCACAAAGATTGGAAGAAGTCTGGAAAGGCAAACAAAGAGGTCTTACACTGAGAGTGATGCAACTGGACAGCTGGAGCCCAGTCAGAGATAAAGAACTTTTATTACCATGTAGACATTTAAAAAACAACAACAACAACAGAAAAACACAAACAAAACTGTAACCTTGGTGGTGAGAAGCCTTTTACACAGAGGGAAGAAGTGTTCGACCATGTCCCAAAACACAAATTTAGTCAGGATTTTTCAAAGAACAGCCTCTTCCATCATGCCATGGTGTTTGGCTTAGGTATGATCTGATGAAATGTGTTCCACTCTGACCTTTAAACAAACTGCACTCCCCAACATGTGCTTAAAAAAAATCTGAAAATCCTCTGTCTACCTCCAAAGCTCTTGCTAAACTCAGCTCTTCTCAGAGCCACTCGGTTTCTCAACACATTCATCAAAATGAGCTTCCTCCATCTCCTAGTTTCAGTGAATCCCGTCTCCCTGGAAAGGTTTGAGCTGAAACTGTCCACGCCCCGCTTTCTCCTCCGTGAGCCACCCGGGATCATCATTTAATTCCTTGTGTACATGTTCTGTTTTGTTTTGATTTAATTCCTGGAAAGAAAGAAAAACCCTTTAATCAAACTACTTGCAGTTATTAACTCAAAAAATGATCTTTCCCTCAGTAGGATCCCTCACTGGGCAAAACTATTTCATCCACAGCATTTCATATAGTTTTAATTAACACAAGATGCGGTGTCTTTCTCTGTCATTAGCGAGGAATAAATTAAACTCATTAAATCTCGAGCTTAATGAAAATGCTCGAGACAGATTTGGGATGCGCTGAATGATGTATGAAGCTGTGCAGCAGCTACTTTTTGTTCTTTTTGAATCTGGGACTTTCAATTAGCAGCAGGCCACCGCAGACTGCTGTTTGATGAGTTGAATTATAAGAAGTAAATATCACTCTAGCCAAAAAATGTTGTTTATAGGCGTGTTTACGAGCGTGTTTTTTGCTTTGATTGCTCTTAAAAACTGCTTGGCTTTGGATATTTTGAATGTGAGCAGAAGCCTCTTGTTAGCACAGAGCTGTGATTACCTCAGTTTGTGGAGGAAGACTAATGATCCTGATATTCAAGGTTTCCACTAAACTGCACTTAAAATATTTTAAAACTGACCTTTATATGGAAATACCACAAGCAGCCTGAACCACTGATAAAGGCAGGACGGATCCATGCTTTCATGTTGTTTACACTAAATTCTGACCCCAGTCATCCAACCAGCCAACATTTTTCCAATCTTCAAATGTCCAATGTTTTAGAGCCCATTTGAATTGTATCCTCAGTTTCCTGTTCTTAGCTGACTGGAGCGACACAGGCTCTGGTCCATCTGGTCCCACGTGCTGTGTTCAGAGATGGTCTGGTTGTAAAGAGTGGTTATCTGAGTTACTGTTGCTTTCCTGTCAGTTCAAAACAGTCTTGTCCCCTGTCCTCTGACCACTGGCATCAAGACGGCATTTTTGCTCATAGAAATGCTGCTCAGTAGATATTTTACTTTTTTGGACAATTCTCCGTAAACCCCAGAGATGGTCATGTGGGGAAGACCCAGTAAATCAGCAGACAGGCTGGTCTTAGTATTGTAGTCATGGAACAACAGTGCTGCATTCAAAGTCACTTAAATAGCCTTTTCCCCTCATTTTGATGCTCAGTTTGAACTCCAGCAGCAGCATGTCTACATACCTAAATGCAGTGGGTTTTGGCCACGTGACTGGATGATTAGATATTTGTGTTAGCATTCAGTTGAATAGCAAAACGGGCGTTCCCATTAGGTAAAACAATAATGAGTTGGTTGTTGCTGAGGGCACTTGTTCATGTAACACCAGTTCTTAGAATACTCAAGTCCCCCTGTATATATATTTAAAAAATCCTAGTTGTTCACATAAATCAGCAGTGCATCATCTCGTCACGTGAAAATATGTGAGCTTTAAAGCAAAGTCTGCAGTGACCAACTTAGCTGCAGGCTACACTAACATTTGCTAAGGAGCACTGCTTTAGTGATGACAACTTTGATTTAGTTTTTTCAGACAGGAAATGGTGTCAGTTGGTTTGAGTTGGGGTGACCTCTTACACAGCTACATGACAAGGTGTTTATTACAAGCTCCTTCATCCACGCACTCTTCCTTTTCTGCCATCAGTTTGAAGTAATCCAACAATTTTGTCCACTGCTACCTGGGTGAAACAATTTAACAATTCAAGCTGTTGACGCTGGAATAATGAAATAACTAGCCCAAAGTTCTGATCCGTACTTAATTGGGAATCTCTGGAAGATTAGCAGCTCTATTCTGTTGAAAAGAACAAAATCAAACCAGGGAAATGTGAGATGTTGGTAAGGCCCCACGAGCACAGATGTGCTAAAATCATTCCAAGAAAATGACCTGTATACTTCCTAGTGGTTGAAAGTTGTAACCATTAATATTTCAGTTTCCAAGCTGCTTTTTTCCTGCTAAAATAGCAAACTATTGTCTAATTTAGATCACTGTACTTTCTGGAATGAATCATTCAAATGTTGCCAAAAGAGTGCTATAGCCACAACTGGGCCTAGTATTCCCCTAATGTTTGAGCTATGAAAGTCGCCAATGAGCAAAAAATAAAATAAATCAAGTAAACATGAATAATTCTCTATCTTTGATCTCTACTCTATTATCTCATATTAGAACTGAATTATGCAGGGTGGCAGGAAAACGTAAGTGCTGTAAGTTCTGACCTGTAATCAGTAATCAAAATAAATATTGAGCTTTGATGTGGCACAAATGAGGAGAAAATGAAGATGACAGACAAGATGAGACTCCATTTGGTTGACGGTTTATTTCATGGTGGTAGGAACACAAGACAAAGGTCATAAAGTTAGTAATGTTCAGGTCATGCCACTCTTATCGGTGCACTGCCCTTTGACGAGGTTTGCGCAGTCAGACAGTAGTTTACAGAGGCCAGACATGGAGGGTAATCCACATGTAGACATAAATAAGGAACAGAAAATAGATTCAAAAATCAGTAAATAGAAGATTTTTTTTTGTAAAAAGCCAGATGGGATATTTGCGTAAGCCCTCTGGGATATTTTTTTCATATGAGTATGAGCATTATTACTAATATAGTCATTATTATTATTATTATTTTGTATTACTCATTTACATTATCAGAATGAGGCTAATACACTGGCTAAAGTAACAAAACAGTTACATGGATAACGTCTTCGTCACCTGCTCGCAGTTCAAGATGACTGGTTTTTAAGGCAATTCATAGTTTCCATCCAAACCATACATGGACTGCAATTGTCTTTTGTGTGTGTGTGTGTGTGTGTGTGTGTTCTCGAGTCCAAGTGGTTCCACCTGAAGTGGTCAAACTCCAAGAAGAGTGTAATAAAATAAGACCAGTTTAAGCTTTGAGAGAGTGACTGCTGGAATTTTAAAAGCATCTTGGGACACTAGAAGAGGGATTCCTGCCCTGGTGCGGACGCACACAATCAGCTTCAGTGCTATTCCTCCCCCATTTACAGAAGTATAGAGCATCGTGTGGGTGAACAGACAAAAGTCAGACATGGCTCCAGTGTATAGTACTAAAAACATAAACCTCCACAGATCACACGTTGTTGCTAAATTTACACTTAAAAATTGCAGGGCTGTACAAAAACAGGTTGCTTGATGACTTTTAAGGAGGGAAAGATAATTAGGAACCTAAGAGAGAAAAGGAAACGAACAAACGAAAAAGTACAAGACCATTTGATACTCAACCACGAACAGGCATGATTTAGTCTCAGAATATTGCCAAGGTTCTCATATCAAAACAAGTTTCTTTCAGTCATTCATTGAAGCTTATTGTGGTTCAGCAAAGACGACTCCACGTTGCAACAGTTCACTGAATTGTACAGGATTCGCACTAGTTAAACAAACCCATGCGTTACTAGGTTAGATCGCAAGTACTGAAGGATTATGTATGTTTTCCCAGTTTTTTGCGGCTGCTATGGCTTCAAAGGGTCACAATAGCGTCAAAGTCTCTCTCTTTTTCTCTCTCTTTCTTTCACTCAACAGCCGAAAGAAGAAAAAAAAAAGATTCCTCCAGGAATGTTCCTAGGTGAAATACAAAAACATGAATTTAAGTCTCAGGTAGAGTTTTTTTTTCTCTTTTTTTGTGAAGATTTTTTTCTCTTTGTGTTGACTGACTGCTGTTTGACAGGACATTCCCAAGAGAAGTGGCTCTCGTGATAAGATCTCCCTTTGCCTCCTTTCTGTCTGTCCTTTTCTTCAGTCTTTGCTTTCAGCACCTCCTTAAGGTCAGATATGGTAATAACTCTTCCCTTAGACGCCATTAAAGGCCCTGCAAAAACTAACTGCTCCCGAGAATAATACAGAAATATATATCTATCACAAACAAAACAAAAAACAAAAAAAGGAGGAATGACCAGACTTTAAAGATGTCTGTGAAGCCTGTACTTTCTGAAATCACTGAGAAGTGAAAATAAAAGAAGAAAAAGGAACCTCGATTCGTTTAAAACAAGAACAAAAAACGCCCCCCTCCCCCGACTCCCAGTTATTCAAAATAGATTCTTTTTCTTGGACTCAAACAAACAAACAAACAAAAACCCCAGATTTTTCAAACCAACACTGCAGAAGTGCATGCATTTATAGTGGTCATCATTAGTTCATCTGCTGATTGTAGAACAGAACGCACAATAGTACAGGAGAAGCACAATTTCTCCAACGAGAACCCATCTTACATATTCACAGTCTCAGGTATTATTTATATACTCTATATTTATAACATCTATCCATGTCTGTGATTCATGTCTTGACTTATGACTAATAATATGCAAGTCATTGTTGCACGCAGCGCTCTCTCTCCGTCACATCGGGTTGCGGTGTTAGTGAGTCATATTTCAAAACTAAAGGCTTGGATGGGATTCAGATCGAGTGGAGAGTTTTTTCTTTTCTTTTTTTCCCCCTCTTTTCAGGGTGCTGTGAGATGGGGTTGATCGAGTGCTTATGACTGTGTACTTTCTCACTGTAGCAGCTTGACTGATTTCTGAAAAGTCCCATTAGGAAAATACAGTGGACTGAATACCAGGGCTGAATACAGAGTTTCTTGACTGTAGTCGGCAGCTGGCTGCAGCATCGAAGAAACGCACGCACCGGCTACAGCATCCATCTCTCGTGAGGGAATGTGTGTCTATCAAAGATGTATAGGCCATGCTCGGGGAATGTGGAACGGCAGATATGGCACCGAGACAAGGCAGTAACCGGAGATCATCAGCAGGGTCCACCGTGTTCAAGTAAAGGATGAGAATAAAAAATAATAAAAAACAAAAAACTGGTAGGGCTGGTTTTTTTTTTAAAGATTCTTTAAAAACATCAAATGTGACATGGATTTAATATCTGTGGTTTTCACCGAGGTGCCTTCTTTTTGGAAAAAAAAAATGAAGGGCCTTGAAAGAAAAGGAATTTTTTACTGTGAACGGAGGTGCGGATAAGAGCAAAATATATAAAACAAAAATGAAAACAACATATTCATTTTCTTTCCATATAAAAAGCGATGAGAAGTATACAAAAATAGAAAATAATTACAGCAGGAGACATGGGCGCTATAGAGGGTGCGGGTGGGAGGGTTTCTTTTTCTTTTTCATTGCTTGCGATATTTCTGTCTTTGCTGGAGTTATTTGGCGGCGGAACAGTGTAATATTCTGGGGCTGTTTAAGGCGTCCTCCACCAGGTGGAGATCCACCCCGTCCACCACCACGTCCTTGATGCAGCCAACGAAACCCGTGCTGTAGGCCTTAGGCAACCGGCGGGCAACCGGCAGCTCCTCCAGACCACCTGAGGAGGGACAGGAGACGAGGTTACTTTGACTGTGAGTCACTGAAAAGGTTATTTCAGTCAAATCAGCCAGCAGTTCCTTTTTAACTTTAAACTTTTCTTTTTTTCACCTGCAGAAAAATACTTTGCACAACTAGTCAACTAATCTTAAAAGTCAGTGTAGTGCCCCTTTAAAGATCAAACAGCGGGATAAGGGTTCGGCTTTTGCAACGAATTAAACTGGAAATATCCATCAAATAGCCAACCTTTGAAATATTTTGGTACAAACTACAAAAGCAGCTACATGGTTTTGTCAGGTTGTATTACAGCCTTTGATATTTTTCACTATGACACCAGCTGATGGACATGACAGGATGACAGTGTATTTGTCAGACTGCCGTGATCAAAGTGAGATGGAGCCTAGCACGGCAGTCACACAGAACTGAAGTCAGACAGAGAAGAGAGAATGTTCTTTTAATTTGACACGGTGTATAAAGTACTAAAAAAAAAAAACACTACAAAAGAAAGGTGGTGACGGAGTATAAAATGATGAATGCTTAGCATCCTCATTATTTTTAATTTGTTTCCATCTTTGGTGCTAAGTGCTCACTGCCGTGCTGTAAACTCCCCATGTATCACATGTCCATCACTTAGTCTTCTCAGCCCTCTGGCAGCCTTTGTGTACATAGAAGTCTGATTTCTTATACGTGCTGCTCTTTGCTGCTCATAGCTGAGTTGGCCCTGAGGTACAAAACACAACAGCATCCTGAAAGCAAAAGAAAACTAAAAACAAAACATTTCAGAAATGGTCACTTTTTTTTTTTTTTATGTTGTTGTGTTTTTCGAACTCTGGGCCACCACTTGTATACAGCTGCTAACTACCCACTTCTTCTCGTACTTATTTCAAAGAAACCAAAAGCAGAAAATCATTCTTTTCCTCTGTGGCTCAAAACCCCCCCACAGAAACTGAGCTGATGGTTTGCAGCAAGTTTGCAGATGTTAAAGGTAGAATCCAGAGGTTTGGACTCGAGTCAGACTCGAGTCATTAATTTTATGACTTTAGACTTGACTTGAAAAAAGGTTGGAAGACTTGTGACTTGACTTGGACTTTTACACCAGTGACTTGGGACTTGAATTGGACTTGAACCTGTTTACTTGAAAAGACTTGATATTTTACCCAAATCTAAAATTTAACATACATATTATATAAAAAGTGTGGACCATTAATTCACTTTATTCATTCATTCATTAATTCTTACCACACTCCGTATGTATGTGAGCGTGAGCTGTAGCACAGCCAATCAAATTAACCAGATTTTTAAAAAAACAAAAACAAATAAAAAAATAATGTGCACTTTAAAAATAACTTAAAGTGCAAATTCTTGTTCATATATATATATACACATATATATATATACACATATATATATATATATATATCTATATATATCAATATATCTATATATCTATATATATATCTATATATCTATATATATATCTATATATATATCTATATATCTATATATCGAGAGAGAGAGGACAAGCTAATCACACTGCACTAAATTTACTGCTTTTGCATTTTTCACTGAATGTTTATTCTGTGAATTTGTAATTTAGAGGAAGACTATTCTTGCAGCAAAGTTTAATTGAGCTGTACAAGGTGCAATTTCAGAATTAGTTTGTGCATATTTTGTAAGTTACTTGTTTCATCAGGTGATGAGATAAATACAGATTTAAAAAAAGAACACATGGTCTATTATTTACACCTAACATATAACTGCAACATTGTTTTTAAAAAAAGACTTGAAAGGACTTGAAATTCAAAGTTTCGGACTTGGGACTTGACTTGAAAGTTGTCTGTCTTGACTTAAGACTTGACTCTGACTTGCTTGACTTTACTTGAGACTTGACTTGTGACTTGAGGATAAAGACTTGAGACTTACTTGAGACTTGCAAAACAATGACTTGGTCTCACCTCTGGTAGAATCTGATCTATTGAACATTGTGGACTATGCTTAAAAGCTGAGTCTGTGCCAGGAAACCAACCAGTTTAAATAAACTCTACTAATTCTGCCAAAAAGAGAATTATGCTGGAAGCCTGTTGATGGCTACAAAAAGTGTCTGATCTATGGGCAACTTCCTAAGCCAATTATTAGTGGGGGTGTATATATTTAGCCTTTACTTAAATATTTGTGATCCTGTGTAGTTTAAGAAAATACCAAATAATTTCAAACTTGTGCACCAAATTCTTGTTTTCTAAAGTCATTAAAGATGTATGGTGTAGAATTATCTCACCCTGGAAAAAGAACAGTTCTAAGAAATAATGAAAACACCCCACACTACCATGATATTCATGCCCATGATAAATGCTATATAAACTTATGACCACAACCAGTGTTGGGAAGATTACTTTTAAAATGTATTCCACTACAGATTACAGAATACATGCCCCAAAATGTATTTTGTAACGTATTCTGAATACTTTGGATTACTTAATATATCATCATGCTTTTTACAACTACATGAATGTACTATTGCTGTGTGATTTATTACTATTACTGAAGGCAACTCGCCATAACAATACCAAATAGATTTAAAATCTTAATATAAAATGAGTAACAGTAGGGTGGACATTAGGTAAAGCTGCACTTTTTGCCGCGATCTCGTATGGAAAACTATTCCGCGCGTATATAAAACAGGTCCGCAGCTCCGAACCGTAGTACAGGGACCTCTGGCTAATACGGTAGGTTCCGTGTCGGGCTCGTAGCTGAAAACTAGCTTTACTTTGTTGTCTGGGTCAACTTTGCTAGCGAGAGACAGAGAGAGGAGTTGAAAGGCTGCTTCAACGGAATTTACTGTTTCGAAGGAAAACACGATCACAGTGTACAGTCGAGTCTAAATAGCTTACATGTTAGTGTGCAGTACGCAAGATCGACAGCGCACAATGTGCTTTGAGGTAGCAGCCAAGAAAGGTGAAGTTTGTGTCTGTGAACAAACGTGTGTACACTTGTGTGCACACCTGTGTGGATCGGCACACTTGTATTCAAAAGGTTTCTCCATGTAACGATCTGCTAGGGAGTGTGGGGAGCCATAGCCCCGTCCCCCAGGGCATGAAGCAGGTGGAGGAGATCCAGGCCCCAGAATACGAGGACCCAAGGAGGGCAACCGTGCCACCCTCCTGGGAAGATCTGAGGAGAGCTCCAAACGAGAGGTCACCCAGCAGCCATGGAGCAGAGGCCAGAGGGGGTTGTAGTGACGTGCCTGCAGGCTCTGCCAGCAGCCAGCTGTGCCAGAAAGGACCGGGCCTCAGGCCCAGAGGCCAGAGGGCACCCCACCCCCCGGAAGGGGCACAGCCGGGCCACAGGCACCAGGCCTCGCCAATCGGCCACCAGGAGTGAGCCGGTACATACATGAGCGCCCAGCCCCAGACACCAAGAACCACCAACACACCAACATCTGAGGGCATCGGCCACTGGCAGGGAGTGTGGTGAGGGGAGATAGGCCTCCATACCTCGGAGAGCCTGAGATGTTCCCAGAGAGGTGGAGTTTACCACCCAAGATGACATAAAGACACAGACGAACAGGCACACGCAGACACAAACATGCATTCCCACCTCCATATACACAAACAAATACTCGGCACTCACCCGACATGGAGACAGACACAAATAGACACTGTACACACATTCACACTCCCCAAACATACTCTATATGCCAGGTTCACGTACCCCTGCCCCCAGAGGGGCAAACCGTACCCAGACCCAGGAGAAGCTTCTCGGATGAGAGGTGAAACGTCTTCAAACAACTTAAAGAAGTCCAGACGCTTTTCTTTCCAAGCTCCTTAGACTTCCTTCCTTGGACCACTTTTAATAGACACTGACAACTGCAACGGGGAACACCTCACAAGGGCTGCAGATCTGGAGATGCTCTGATCCAGTCGTCTAACCACTACAATTTCACCTTTAGCAAACTCTCTCAAATCACTACGGGTGTAATTCTTCCAGCTCTCCTAATTTTTGGGTGCCTGCTCAGGTTCCTCTTTTGATGGTGTTTTGAGCAAACATAAAGTAGTCATTAGTGTCTTTCTCACTAAGACAGTGTGAAACATCTTTATTCAGAATTATTTTGAATCTGTTCTTAGGGGGAGAGAGACCATAGCTTCATTTCCCATGCCTTACCTATTTAGCCCTCTTTTCTGTTTCCCTCTTTGGTATCTACAGGGTCAGAACCCTCCTGCATCCCTTTTCCTCTTTACTTGATGCCCGTGCGACTCATTTCACCCCCGCACCTCCATCTCTTCCATGTTTTGTGAGGCCGAGAGTTCACATTCCCGCTGAGCTCTTTACATCCCCTGTCCCTGCCCACATTAATCGGATTGTGTGCCTCAGAATCAGGAGTCGACAGGGCTAATTTCATGCGAGTTACAGATGAATTAATGATGAACAGCGAAAAGGGGATTTAAAAAGGGAGAAGGGCTCTCGATGGGAGGGCTACGTGAGGATTATATATTCTTGCTGCAGGGCTCGCTCAGCACCTGTTCCACTGCGCTGCCTCCCCATGTGTGTTTGTGTACGTGTACCTGAGAGCACGAGCACACCTCTTACATGCGGCGAGGCTCTTTAAATGTCACTCGGGCTGCTTCTCCTCACAGACCTGCGTCTTTTTTTCGCTGCGCACTGTGCATTTTAAAGAACAGTCTGACTTTATTTTGCTGCCCGTCTTCAATGTTATTTCCTCAGAATGTTCAATCCAGCGGTGCTGTGTGTGTTCTTTCAAAAACGATTTCTCTGAGCCAAGTTCAGCTTAAATTGAACTCGAGGTAGATAACGGGCCGACTTTGGTCATTTTCAATTCAGGAGAGCAGACAACTTTGGAGTTAGTCAGATAGCCTTTCATTTCTCAACTCAATACCTGAATAGGCTTGGACTCTTTTTTTTTTGCCTAAACTGCAATCTTTTTTTCACCTGCCAGAAGCATTGACTTCATTGCTCACTTTTTGGCAGCCCAACCAGTGGCTAGGATGAAAAAGCACTATTCTGCACAATTACAAGCATTGCCATGCTTTATGTATGGCATAGCTAGGCACATTTTCAAGTCTGAATTAAGAGTTCAACTTTTTCCTGCATGTGTGGCCACCTACCCAGCCAGAGTGCTCCATCTGTGTCCAGCTGTGTTGATGCCAGAGGTGATGACCCTGTCACCGGTGCCTCGTTGCCAACCTGTAGAGAGCCGTCTCGAAGTGCTCTAAAGAGGAGAAAGACAAAAGGAGAAGGGCACTGGAAGTGAGTACGTGTGTGTCACAGCGAATAGCTTTAAATTGCAGTTTCGTTTAGTTTGAGGCATCAAGACTCTATTGCTCGACTGCCAGTATACTAAGCACTCACATAACTGCCTTTGCCAAGCAGTGTTCTAAACGTGCCTGTCTACCAGCTAACAGATGCCGTTAGAGCACCATTTATTTGAGGTGGCTCCATGTGGCGCATTAGCACACACTTAAGAATTGTGAAGACAGAGCTGATTTGAACCCCGCTAAAGTGGGCTTCCAGCAGAGAGACTGTCATTAGAGGCAAGCCACAAACACAGCTAGCTATGCAGCTTTGTGAGTCGTATGCCACATGCTGCGATTTACACCATCATTACCATCGAAATGATGTCATCTTCTCATGCGGTCTCCCTGTTAGTCTGGGATGAGATTTGGCCTAGTTCCTGTTTGAAATGGATGGAGCAGCTTTTCAGGGATCGATTATTCCCGCCTTACGTGATGAAACCGAACAAATTATCCCCCCACGTGACCAGTCGCCGCGATGCCGAACGTAAAATGCTCACCGACGATAATGCAGGGGTCGCAGGGAAGGTGTTGAGTTTGGGCAATGAATTTATTTTTAATGAAGAAATCCATTAAAGTGACATCACCATGGGACAGAAAAGTTCGGCACACTTCGTGTTTTTTCTCTTCTATCCATTATTCATTTACTAAATGTTATTTTCTCTAATTCAAGTGTTATTTATTGTTCTTGCACATGCACCTACAGTCACTGGCCACTACATTAGGTACACATTTTCAACTACTTGTTAACACAAATATCTGGTCATACATGTCACCTTGGCATTAAGACGTAGCCTAGACGACCTACTGCAGTTCAAGCTGCGCATCAAAATGAGGAAGAAATGTGATTTAAGGGACTTTTAACATGGCGTGGTTCAGAAATCTACTAGGATATACCCACAAAGCAATCTCTTACTGATTCTCTGGCACGAAGAAATTATTTAGTTCTGAAGGCAAAATGGGGTCCAATCCAGTGCCAGCAAGTGCAACTAATAAATTCAATTCAAATTTTATGTATATAGCACCAAATCATAACAACAGTTACCTCAATACACTTTATATTGTAAGGTAAAGACAGTTTAAGAATACAGAGAAAAGCCCAACAATCTGATGACTCCCTCTGAGTAAGTGCTTTGGCGACAGTGGTGAAGAAAAACTCCCTTTTAACATTAAGAACCCTCTGGCAGAACGTGAGAGGAAGACAGGAAAGTGAGTGTCGGTGAGTGTCTATGCACCTGCTACAGGTTTGTATAGACAAGGCTCAACTGTATCAAAAACTGTTTATGATGTGACTGACTAGTTTTGTGGTAAGTACAACGTCATCTGTCCTGACAAACTGATCAAATAAATTCTGTTGTTAAAGCCACCCCCTTCCAGCTGTGGGCCCTTGCGAAAATTGTCACCTGCTGACTTTGAGAAAGTAACTCATGCATTTATTTCATCCAGGCTTGACTACTGGAAAAGCCTGAAGGGCATTTGTTTTTGCACTTTGCACTTTTTGCACTTGAGACCCATGTTTGGTAGTAGTACTAAGCTTATGCATTAAAGTGCATCAGACTCCACCTCCGGGTAGCAACACATATGCAACAGGTTTAGACTTCATAGTTGGCTGCATGGATTAGTGCAAGTTTGCACAATCTAAGGTCTCAAGCATTAAATCTGTTAATGATTGATTTCACACATTTTGTAATCTCTAAGTTACAAAAATGTCCCTGAGGTTCACTAATGTGTGACAAAACGTGAAACTCCATGAACGATGAGACTTTTTCAGACTAACATCACATGCATTTTCTGACTGTTATGAAGCTTTTGAGTTTACATAAAACAAGGGGAATACCATAGGTATGCATATATGATATGTCTCGTTAGTCAAGTTTTTGCAGAGGCAAAGTCATTTTCACTTCTCTGGTGAGGCAGAGGTTCTACGGTTTGAAAGTCCCAGTTGTTAAGATTATAGCAATTTAAGCATGTGGTATGTCTACAGCTGTCCTGAGAGGTCAACGACAGTTCAAATGCTCACAGTCTGCTCGGACCTTCGTCTTCACTGCTTGCAGCTATATTAATGTTATTCATACTGTCTTTCTCTTCTTTTAAATCAAGCATTCTTGCAAGTCATCTACAGAGCAAAATACAGTGATGTGTATGAAAGGGAAATACACATACAAATACGCATTCACTTTTCTTATTTTTTTTACTCATTTATTTCCTGCCTATGTGTGTGTGTGTGGATATTGCAGGATGTTCTTCCTTTTTGAACATTCATTACCGTGTCAAAGCAATTTGATGCATAATATCATCCTCGTGCATGACCAGGCATGAAAATAACGTTAATCTGGAACTAATCGGAGTCATCTCAGTGTGAGGGATCGCTGTGTAGCCGAGGATTCATGCAGGAGATCACGGTGTGCAGCAACACAAACACAATATGGATTAATTCTAATCCTGGTCTAAATGTAAAAGCTTCCATCACTGATCCCCTGTTACCTATCGTCTCCCGTCTTACCTGCTGGCCTTGATGCGTATCCAGCTGTTGGTGTCAACACGCACAGTAGAGCGCAGCACCACGGGTTTGGAGCCCAGGTCATAGGTCATTTGGACATGTCCATCTACAATTGCTAGGGCAATGTAGTCTGAGCGCTCCACGCCCTTTCCGCTCCACAGCACCAGACCCTGGGTCGTGTCAGTTCGGATGCTTAGTTCAAATTTGTTCACCAGCAGAGCCTTCTCGCTAGAAGGAGAGAAAATACATGTTCATTTATTTGTCTGCTACATCAGAAAGATTTCTAATCTTTAACATACCTATGGATATTGCATATAGGAAGCAAGGGTCCTGTGCTGTCGTCTCAAAGGTGCATTACCTGTGATGACATCTGGTTCTATTTGCTTACATATTTAGAAAGAAAACTTTGTAGCTTTAACTCTGCAATCACATGCTAACAGAGTTACCGGGATTTTGAAGGAGAATCAGGATGCTGGGTGAGTAGCAGGGGGCTGTTTCGCTATTAGCTTTTCTACATCCTACTGAGCCTGAACTGCACTGCTGCCTACTGCTTCCTTTGTTGCTTTGTGCATTGCTCTGTGTGTGTTGTTTAGGCAGCTGTTTGATCTCCCGTCTCTTGACTGCTACAGCTGCCAGGGTGATTTGGATGCAGAGACTAGGAGACTTCCCTTCTATCCTTAAGAGGCACTGTAAGCCACTGTCACCGCTGCGCGAGAAAAGTACACAGAGCAATGTGCCTCTGCTGAATTCGTGCACAGACAGACAACACCGCACATCCATGTCTGCATACAAACGCACTAACAAAGGTCCTCCGTGAGTCCACCAGAGATACAGCAGACATCCAGGCAATCATACCCCATCATTCAGTCTCTGCACATTTGTTTGCACATCAGCAAAATGGAACTACTTCCAACGTCTTCAAAGGGTATTTAAACACAAAGACAGAGACAAGGTGAGGGCACGTACGACAAAGAACCAACAACACGTGGATTCAATTAAAACAAAAAACAAACAAAAAAACAACACCACAGACCTGGAGATAGATTTGACAAGACAGACAACAAGGCAAGGGAGTCAGCACAGCAAACAGGGAAGCACATGGGAGTACAAACAGGACAGGAAATGGGAGGGAATACAGAGAGAATGAGAATAGCAGCTCTCCTTAACCTCGAGGAGATTTTCTTCATTTTTTTTCCTGTTTATCTTCCATTAAATGATGTCTAAACAAAGCAGCAAGATGATATTTAACTTTGGAGGAAATAAACTTTGAAAGCTCATGCCAAAAATGATGCCAGTCGCCTCAGCAGAAGCAGACGGGAAAAAAAGGATTTTCTTTTCCAAAAACATGCTTAGGTTACAAACATCGACCCCCTTGATTAACCAAAACTGCTGAGGTAAACAGGAACACACACACACACCAAAAAAAAAAATTTTTCTCCAGAGAGAAAAAAACAAACTAACAAAAAATACAGCTTAGTGAACCTTCTCCTGGCAAACCCTCAAAGAGCTTACAGGGCCCAATAAATCTCCACTGGAGCGGATTGTCAGTGATAAGGTCAAGGTTATTAAAAGTGCTGAATATATCATGAATAAAACAACGGCGGCGCACAGCGCTCTAGATCTCATATACACCGCAGACTTCATAGATTTCTGCTGTGATGCTGTTTCTTTTTGGAAATGGAAGAGTTTTATCTTCTCGGATTTTTTTCAAAGCTGAAAAAGGCCTCTCAGGGTGTGGACCTACGTTTCAACTCTAGGTGGCAGTAGTGCTTAGAATAATAAAAAGCCATGTGGGAGGACGGCTATTGCAAAGAGACTGTAGCTCTGGATGGATTTGTGCTGTTATCAGAGCTCTTAACTTTTTCAGAATTTATTGAAGCATATGCAGAGGCTCTTTGCCTTTCGTATTGGTAACTCTATCTCAGTAATGGAAACAGTGTTGTCTCTGCGGAGGAGGATTTAGCCCTGTGAGAGGTCGACGAGGGGTTGTCTGGAGGGAAGGGGAGGAATGAGGAGGTGATACGCAAGCCGACAGCACCACATTTTTGATAGCTTTGAGAGACTCACCTCTGGTCGGATGGGTTCTCCAGAGACTCGGGACTTAAGGGAGCAGGGGGAGAAAGTCAACGGCATGCAGTGTAAGCGCAAGGGGCAACAAGGAGAAAGGGAGGGAGGGAGGAGGGGAGGGAGGAGGTCTAGTTTAGGCCTGGAGCTGCAAAAAGCATAACTTATCTGCTCTACTACAATATCGACCACGTCAAGTCGATAACAACTGTTGTGTGATCATAGGAAGAGTGTAGCTTAGCCTTGATAACACCACAACCATAAAAAGGTTCTTAAGGGAACCGCTGAGATTAAGATGGATGACTAACTCTCCAAAATGCCTTGGGATCAAGCATTTTTTAAAAGAGTGAAGCATCAAGATTAAGCACATTCATGGTCAGTGTCCACTGAGGTGCAGAGCCCGCTTTAAGTCAGCGTCCAATTATTGACCAGCTCCTTTATATTTATGGCTCTGCACGCTACAGTGCTGCACCAATTACCTTCTGTCCAGAGATGAAAGCAGCGAATGAGAAAAATTGGGCAATTGTCCAAAAATGGGGTCAAGCGCGTATCAGTTGAGAGTCATGGCCAGATATGATTTGTCTCTGAAATAATGGAGCTTGAGCGTAATCGACCTGAGCTTCCAGATATGGAGGAGGAGGAGTGATCAAAGGGGTGCTGTAAATAGTAACCAAAACATTAACCCAGGGTTAAAGTTTGACATTTTGGCCTTAGCGCCACTTAATGGCCGAGAAATGTATTCATTCCTTTTACCAGATCAAATCCCACCCAATTGATTGTGCTCCTTTAGAGTGCTGCACCAAGAGCCTGGTATGCTTAGATTCACCCTCATTGTGGCTCGTAGTAAATGTGACATCCATTAAACTTTTGACAGTCTGGCTTCAAGGACCGCTGTCCCCTGCTGCTAAGTGAGATTGATGCCCATGGCTACACACTGAGGAGAGAGATCTCAATTGGAGGTCTAATCTACAAAGGGAGACAAATCTGTGATTAACATGTCACAGCCTTTCTGTACAGTCGACTCTGTAATTATTCACAATTACAGTTAGAGATCTGGCAAAAATGAAATGACAGAAGCCCTGGCATGGAGTGGAACTCTGGGCGGAATCCAGTCGGCTTAATTTGAGCCGAATTCTGCTTCAGCGCTTTTTAAAAAAAGAGGTTACTTACCGAGCTAATGAGCAGGAAGAAAAACCTTTAATAACTAAGGCATGACCGAGGGTTTTCCCGCGCACAAACTCCACAGGCACCAGAAACTAGGTTGAGTTGTATTTAGTATAACCTCCTCTTGTAGTTTTCAAGGGGTCTCATTCATTTCTCACATTAGCGCTTAATGCCATTCAGCATAAAGCACGTGGCAATTCATTTTGTTTATGAACGAGCTACAACCATGCATAAAATATTGCACATTCTCAGTACAGCAATTCATTTTCTCGGAGGGCTGTGCACAATGCTTATCATGCAAACATTCATGCTTCCCTTTGCACTGAAAGGAAAAAAAGACAGGAGCTAATGACAATGCATGATGCATTAAAAATAAGGAAACCTGTCAAATGAAATTATGGATATGGGCCTTGGATGTGAAAATCTGGCTTTAACGGTTAAGATGAGTTCTGTGTGGATATTAAGACGGGAAACTGAATGTGCTTTAATCTTTGCATTTGGGTTATCAAACATGGATTTTTTAAAAAAAATTTTTTTACTGCTGTTAGTCGAGCTGGATTTGAAACTTGGGTAAATACCCAATGTTAAAGTCTACTTACTCTGGGATCTCATTGGTCAGTTGGCTTGAGTGAAAAGGAAAGACAGTGAAGGACATTCACATGAAACAAAGACACATGTGGACAAAGACAAGGGAGGTCAAGGACAGAGGACGAACAACTGGAATGCTAACGCCATCAACAAGCAGCAAAGACACATCAAAAGGCACACACGGATATGTGATTCTCCAGCCAGTTGTTTCTGAGTGAGTGTGAGGTATGAGCGTCCACGGCAGCATGATGATCTGCACACCGTAACCCGGTTTTCACACCTCTGAGTGTTTGTGTGAGGAGCTGCGAGTCGAAGATATAGAGCCGTATGCTTGACGTCGTTTCAGGCTCGTCACATAAACATTTTTGTTTATTCCAACCTGGAGGCGCTCTCTTGCCAACCTTGTAGATGGATGGAAGACTAAAAATGTCTCATCAGTTGCCTGAAGTGAGTGGATTGCTGTTTTTTTTTTGTTTTTTTTATACAACAGCCCCAGAAATCATTTTCCAACTACGTCATCGGCTTTCTTTCCCCATTACGGGGAGTTAAAATTGAAGCCAACACATCTTTGAAAGCATGATGAAAAACGGTCATCCGCACATGATGACCACATCAAAATAGGATGAGAAGTTTAATCATGTGTGTGCTTACTGTTCAGCATCAGTGCGAGCTACGGGGTAGACCACAGGGCGAACCGAGCGTGCTCTGGGCAACACTGTGATTGTTAACTGTCTCGCTAATTAGTGAAATCCTGTCAAAAGCGTAGCGGGACTTGCCACAGACAGAACGATGAGCTATTAGCCAAGCGCCTAGTTCACCCTGAAGCCCCAGCGCTGATGATATCATCAACACTGTCATCACAGCTTACCATGGGAGAAGATGGAGAAAAGAGGGGTTATTTGGCTAATAGCTTCTACAGCAGAGATGGTGGATGATGCTGAACGGACTGTAGTCTTTCTTACCTCCTGGTAACAGCGTTGTGGTACTCGATGAACGTCCGTCCGTCAAAGGCGATGGCCTCGGTCTCGCCAGCAGACTTCTCGTGGATGGCTGTGAAGGACAGGGGCGGGGCGAGGAATGATGAGAGGATGAGATCGCACCAATCAATAAAGATTCAGTTATCAGAGCCGAAGGCAATGAAGTGTGAGCATGGGGTAGGTGGATTGGTGCGTTGGCCACACGCCCAAGGTTAATGGCAAAAGCAACGACTGAGTATGTAAGACAGATTGGCCCCGAACGAGCGCACGTCTGGCAGAGTATCACGAAGATGATGAAAGGAATGCGCAACCCCTTCCTTTCATAAATATTCAGTTGACACAGTTCATCATTTTCGTAAGTGCCGCGTTAGTTTGAGATCAATACATAATGAGAGTGACATAAAAGAGACATCACATGTCTAATATTGGCATTATTACCTCGCAATGGCAGAGCACAATGGAAATAAAGGTCTTATGAGCAGAAAAAATTGAGACTCATATTTTACCTTCTATAGAGGCAAGCCAAGAACAAGCAGTGTTACATGAAGCATCACTGATGTCAGTGCCACTCATACTATGCTTTAAAAGCAGCCCAAAATGCTATGCTTCTGGAGTAAAACCAGATCATCTTGGATGAGGAAATAGAACAATTTGTACGGTTACAGTGATTCACTGAAGCCGCGCAAAAACATGATAAGGTGACCTCAACCCAGCAAGTATTGTTAGCCACTGGCTTACACAAAGAGAAATCACACTGGTCCTTAAAGTAGGGGTAGGAAATGTGTTTAAGAACTGAGATTTTCTCTGGTTCATTCACTCGGATTAGGATAAAGCCAAATGTAATGTATGTGTTAGGACAGACGACAAAAGATGGCAGCGGTACTCACTGTTCTGGCAGTGCTGCCCTGAGAAGCCGCTGAGGCATTCGCAGTTGTAAGTGTCCAGCTGAGGTTTGCAGCGGCCACCGTTGTGACAGGGCTCCCTGGAGCAGGGGTGATTCTGGAACATGGCTACGCTGCTGGAGCGCAAGGCATTCTCCTCCCTGAGGATGGGCGTACCCATCAGAGTGATCTAGAAGCAGTGCACACAGGGCGTTATCACCAGGTGTTACCTCAGTCTGGCTTCGAAGACGTTTACGAAACAAAAAGCATGCATCTCGGCAACTAGCGACGTTCTCGCTAGTGGCCGCATATTTCAAAAAGCACCGGGAGGAAATAAATTGGATCTGAGCCACAGTGGAGAGTCATATTTGGGATTTCTGAGATAGTACATCACTAAAATCAAATATCAATTATTAAATAAGCAGCAAAATAAAAATGTGGAAAACATCACGATGACTCAGTGGTTTGATTGTACTTAACCAGGGATGTCAAACTCATTCTACATCGTGGGCCATCTTTGATCTTTGATCCTAAGCGGGCCGGACCAGTGAGACTCCTGAGATATTTTAATATAACAAAAAGTAGTGCAATTTCATCAATACAGCTTTTCTACATGTTGATTTTGCTAATTTTGGCTTAAACTGTAGTAAATAAATCTGTAAAGATAGAGAAAAAAGTCTGTCAGCTCAATGCACAGAAAGTCTTGTAATAAAAAAATGGAAAATATTTGTTAATTAGAGAATGTCTTTTTTCTTTTCTTTCTTGTTTTTTCCAATGTAAAAATCATAATTTCTGTAGTCTAATTGTTAATCTCTTACTTATTTACTGGTGTAATGTGAATGTCCACACAGTTAAAATGTGCTCCTTCACATTTTCCAAAGATATTCTGTGGGACAGATTTTTTGTCAATCTTTGACGGATTGATACTGGCCCCCGGGCCTTATGTTTGACAGCCCTTTACTTATTAGTAACCAGGCAAAAACAAAATCTAAAAATATATTAAGATATTTTTTTCTCCAGATGTTGTTGAATCCTGTTTGGAGCAAAGAAATATAGGATATCATCCTTTTCTGACTAGGCCACACCCATTCCACACCAAACCTGAGGAAACAGGATTTGTATATATATATATATATATGTATATGTATACATATATACACACATATAATATATATATATATACATATATATATATATATACATATATATATATATATATATATATATACACATATATACACATATATATATATATACACATATATACACATATATATACACATATATACACATATATATATATATACAAATACACATATATACACATATATATACACATATATATACACATATATAACAATATATACACATATATACACATATATATACACACATATACACATATATATATATATATACACATATATACATACACATATACACATATATATATACACACCATATACACACACATATATATATATATATATACACGCATATACACACACACATATATATATATATAACACATATATATACATATATATAAATATATATAATTATATATAATAATATACACATATATATATATATATATATATATATATATATATATATATACATATATATATATATATATATATATATACACATATATACACATATATATACACATATATACACATATATACACATATATATACATATATATACACATATATACACATATATACACACACACACACATATATACATATACACATATATAGATTATATAAAATATATACACACACACACAGACACACATATATACACATATATACAATATATATACTATATATATATATATATATATATTAAAAAAAACACAGCTCTTGTTTGTCTTTGTGTTGACCTTCAACAAAGAACAGAGCATACTGGACATAATGTGCAGTAAATACATGCTACATAGTTCAGTGGGGCTAGCTTTATAGCAGTGTGTGTGTGTGAGAGTGTGTGTGTGTGAGTGTGTGTGTGTGAGTGTGTGTGTGTGAGTGTGTGTGTGTGCATGCGTTTGGAGACAAATCAAAATCTTATAAACACTCCTCATTTACTATTTTTGAAGACATGCATTTATGTAATAGTTTTAGTGACCTTTCTTTGAAGTGCTGCATTTACAATATAATTCTTGTCATGCTCGTATGCCTATTACCTCTGATAAGTCGTTTAAGGTATTAAAATTATCTGATTAAATTCTCGCCTCCTTAGCACACCACTTGAAGATTATCATTTACCACTCTTGATTGTTATCCAAAGGAACACATCCATGAAGGGTTTTGTGTTTTCTGCCGAACCATCCTTAAATCTAATTATGGCGACACATCCTACAAGTAAATAAATGCGTACAGTGAGGCTGTAGATTCAGTTTAACACGCACCTCTGAAGACGAATCCCCTGCTGCTGCAGACCGAAAATTGCCTCCAAAAATTACAACACGCGTGTTAAACAGTACACCAGACTCGGAATACTTCCTCATAATTAATTATTCCCTACAGGCCAAGCAAGACAAACGCCACATTTAGCTTTTGATTTGCTCGAAACTGTCAAGGGAAAGTTTGGAGAGGATAACTAATGACAACTTTGCGCAAACAGTAACATCCAGCCTTTGTTCTACCAAGTTATTTTTGGCACTCTGAGATGAGATTTTTGCTGGAAAGTGGAGGAAGAAAAAAAACTGGAAAGTTGTCAGGGAAAGATCTGAGAATAGCAAAATGGAAAGACTTCAAAAATGTGCATTCTATTATTAGTGTGCACTAATCCAAATGAGCACAGCCACTGTCCGTCACAGAGTGAGCTCATAATGGAAAATTACTAATGCGAGGGCTTATAGCAGGACAGCGAGTAACTTATCGCTGGACTTTGCTGCTGTATGTCCAAGGTCATTAAAATAACATAGAATCGAAAATCTGAGTTAATGACACATTAATTCGTTTACAAAGAGACATGTATAAATTTACCTGCTGGACTGTTCCCTTGAAGCCTTCCGTAAGTGCAGCGGCTCTTGCTAGTCGGCTGTAATCAGGAGCTCCACCAACAAAAAGAGACTCTTTCAGGTTAAGATCTACGTGCTGGTTCTGATGAGAAAGGACACAGACACGTTTCAGCTTATGAGCCAGAGATGCACCCCACAAAAATAGCTCTACATCTACCTCTGTATGTCTTTATTGACTCTTACCCATAACCCATCATCAACTTTTCTCAAGAGTTTCCTATTCAGAACATATTGGCTTATACTTTTACCGCAGTCAAGGGAGCCAGGAAATAAATTGCATCCTTTTACCCAAGATATAAAGACTGAGATTAATACACATACCACATTTACAGACATGTCACAAATGTCCCATAAAAAAAGATTTAATACTAAAGCCAGCAGAGGCTTTAACTGAACTTCCTTGCCTTCCTTCCACGCCAATACACTTGATACATTACAACATAATTGATTTCTGTGTCTCTCAGAGAGAGTGGTCAATTATCCTCTATCTGTGCGACATAAAAAGAGACTACAAAGGAAAATCAGAAGCAGGCTGGGCTGGAGATATGGATGGTTCTTTACAGACATCTCTAATGAATGGCTGATTATAAGCACCGACCTTTCAAACGGTTGAGTGTGGAGACACATTAATTGCAATTCATTTGTGCAGCAGGCGGCTATGAAATTCGATTCTTTCCACCAAACCTTTGGAACAATTGCTTTGCATTAGCAAGGTGCCTCTTTGCTACTTTTGCATGGGAGAACTGGCCCACTTCAGAAGGAAGGAATTAATGATCTTTATTTTATGTAGGGCAGTAATTGCCAGAGGGTTAAAGTGGAGTTAATTGCTGTAAAAATGATGGAAGGGGCCAAATAAACTGGCTTTGTGCAGGCAAGCTGGCATCAGGCTGGCTTTTATTTAGGATGGGATTTGGAGTGCGGGAGGCTGTGGTGCTTGGCTGAAGCCCGGGGCTGTGTCGCTGCACCTTGAGCCGCTTCCAGCTGAGATAGAGCAGAGACTTTGGCCAAAGCGGCTGGACCCAGTTGTGGCTGTTGCCTCTAGGCTTTGCCAAAAGTTGTCACCAAACTTTAGGGCAAAGATAGCCACCTCAGGCTCTGTATGCAGACATTACTGCTCTACAACACCCATCTACTCTGCAGATAGAGTTACAGAAACATACTGCACCTTCCCTGAGATCTTACCCCTTCATAGAGTGATACTCTGGAATTTAAGTACTCACTATCTATGTCAAGCTACACTTCTATGACGCTAAGTGAAACTGCATGCAATGGAATGGTAGATCATGTTCTAAGTTTTCCCCCTCTTCCAGGTAATAATAACCACCTGTTGAAAGAGGATGGCTGGTTCCATGGGGTGATTCTTGCTCAGTGATGTTCAGTGAGACTTGTGTCGTAATGGGTAAAAGAGTGAGCGAGTTCATGATATTATGGAGGATTGTTCTTGTGCATAAAAGTGAGAGCAGATGACAAAAGAACAGCCAGGCTTGGCTTAGCACCTCACCGTCTCCTACGGTATATATCCTCCTCGCCTCCCATGTCTTCGCTCTCACTTTCCGACAGGCACGCGGCACTGGCGTGATATCCCCGCCTACGGCAGACTAATGAAGACGTTTCTTTGTTGCTAAAAACAATGGCCATCGCAAAGATGGCTGCTTCTTTTCCTTCTTACCTCCCACCTTCCCACCCCCACAGCAGATGGACCGAGGTGAAAGCCAAACCTTGTTCTTTAGGAGCATCTCCTCTTTGGTGCTGTGTGTGCGTTTATGAGCTTATGAAAATGGCAAAGTTGTTCTACAGAACTGGCACCTTTAAAGCTGCCTGCAGCTCTGCAGAAGTACCCTTTTTTTGGTCTGTGCAGTTGTTGCATGAAGAGATGAGGGTAAGAGGACACAGCGAGGTGGCTCAAACAAAATGCGGGGCTGAGGTGTGACTGGGACTTGTCTAATTACCTTGCGTGATTTCTTATTTCCAGACAGCACATCATAGAGAAGGAAAGAAAATAGGGAGGAAGAGAGTTATTAGGGTAACTAGAAAGTGTCTGTGCACAAAGGAGCATGCAGAGCTAGGCAAATGCAAAAGCCCACAAAGCACACACGTACTATAACACACGCACCTGCAAGAGTATTAAAAAAAAAGCCGCTGTGAAGCACTGACATGTGAGACAGGTACGTTAAACAAGAATATAAAATGTGGACAGCACACCTTTGCATTATATACATACACACACATGAAACCACAAAGCTGTGCAAGTGCGTATTTACACTAGAGAACATGAATGCAAATAAGACAGTAAGTCTAAGAAGGCCGTGCATGAAACATACGATGCCATTAGCAAAAGATGAAAAGGAGAAAAAAACAAAAAACACTTCATGGATGAGAGTCTATGAATAGTGCCACTTAACCCAACCTCATTTATAGACCACAGCCATTCAATATGAGGTGAAGTAGATTATTATTTCTGTTATCCGAACCTTTGAAAGTTTGTAGTTCATTACACCAGCAGCCTGAACAGACTTTGAAATGAACATGCTATATGCATCCATATATGTTCCTGTGTGCGACCACCTTTGATATGATATAGGTTTCTCTGAGCAAAGCGTATTGTAACGCCTTCCTGGTTCTTAGCGCTGAAGTGGGAGAGAATTAGCTTAGAGCAATACTGGATAGGGTCTCTGCAATGAGCTCCATAACTAGTCTCAGCTCATCCCTTGCGTCCTACCAGCCCCCCACTCATCTTCGCTTTTCCCTTGCTCTCTTTCTTTAATAAGATTTTCTGCCTCCGTTGCTGGAGTAAAACACAATTACCATACGGACGATGGGGAGGCAGAGGAGGGGTGACTGAGCAGCGAGAGAGAGGGGAAAAAAAGAAAAAAGCAGTGTTGCATCTTAGAGGAAGTTGATGGAGTTGACAGAGTGCATGTTCACAGTCACAAATTACACTGTTTAATATAATTGGATGACTTGCAGACTTATCAAACTATTAGATCGCCTTCATTTGGAACCATGTACCTGCTTTATTAGTCTAGTCGCCAGGTTTAAAATTTTCATTACGCACTCTCTCGCTGCTGCTATCTCCTTGATCTGCCTCCACCTCCCTAGGCAGCACCCTCAAAGGCTGGATTTATGAAATTGACTGTATACCAGCAGAAAAGGCTGCTTTTTGAATTTGGTAGGTAATGCTAACTTTTATCTCTAGAAAATCAGGAAGCTTGAAGAAGTATTACAAAATTAAGACTGCCCCTTCTATATTTACAGCTCTCCCTCTTGCATTGCTGGATTTCTGGAGATAGCTGCATACTTTAGGTTAGAACAAACTATACGCTCTGGGACTGTGTACAAAAAAAATCAGCAAAACTGGGTAAGCAGTAACTTGGACACTACTTATAGGGGCATGATGTGGCGTAGATGAGGCATAGGCACACAGAGGGGTATATACACATATAAATACAGGCATAAGGGTAAGGATAGCACTGGCCCCTGAGCCCCGCATGCTAAAAGCAAGATAACCATTAGAAGTAGCTTGGTGGGTTGCGGTTTTCTTACTGGTGCCTCTCCTCGGACAGCACCCTTCTTGTTCACCATGATCTCTCCTTTGCGGTTGGAGCGCTCCAGGTTGATGGTGTTCCACACATTCAGCTGGATCCGTTCCTTACTCCTGAATCACACACATGCACAGTTTTATATTTCTCTGTTTTCTTGTTTGATAACTTAAACCCTCTTAGATTCTCAAGTCGTGGTAACCTTATGGTGGCAGGTCCCTTCCCCAGGTCGTAGCGAAACTCCAGGAATCCACCGCTCAAGGACAGTGAAATGAAGTCTCCTCTTCCATCCGATTTTTGGCCGTTGTAAAAGATCAAACCATTGGAGTCGTTGGCCATGAAAACCACTGTCATGCTAACCTTTTGACTGCAGATGTAACAGAAGCAAAACACACACGTGAGTTTAAGAGGATCTCCTAGAAACATCTCCTAGATGTTTTTCTGTGTCTGGTGCATCAACACTGTTTCTCCAGTATATAAAGACATTGTATGTTCTACATGCTCACACTTAGACAACATTACTTGTTTCCGTCATTGTCAGTTCAGTCCAGGCTTAAAGAAGGGTGTTGGCTTTAGGCACAGAACAAGCTCAGTCTGTGAGACCTACGTGGTATCCGGTGTTCAATAATACATGTGGGTTTCACACTGAGGCATGGGACTTACCGCAGATCGTGCCCGTACAGATGTAGCCCCTTCAGCTCCAGGTAAGAGTCTCCGTTGAACAGTGGCATGTAAGCCCCTTGCCTCTCAACCACTGGGGGGAAAAAAACCAAAGAGACGGTATTGAACCGCAGGTGTCGTTTTTGCTGCTGACAAAATTGAAATTCAGGGATAGTCAGTACATCTTTGAAGAGCCTGTCAGCATTAAGGAGAGAGATGGATTTGTGTTTTTATAGCTTTTGGGATTAAGACTTTCTCCTGACGGAAATTCAAACAAAAAAATTAAATAAATTAAAAAACCCTTATGTCAGACTGATTACACAGCCCGCCACTGTATAACAAAGGACCTTTGGAGACATGCGGAGTTTAACACCACAGCCTGGGACCTATCAAATAATGTGGCTATTGTATTTTGGCAGGCCTTTTTACAAATTCATGTCTTAGCAACAGGGTCTACGTCTGGCTGTCCCGTCTTTTGGCTGTCTGGAGTGATTAGGACAGGCACTGTGCCATCCCGCTAACAAGTAGCTTGACATTAAAAATCATTCAAGTGTCACTGTGGGAGTATGTGTTTATGGTGTTGCTTGCAAAAGCTACAATCACTGAGAGGAATGTGCCACGCTAGATGCTCACACATATACACATACCTATCTATGTAGCCGGCAAGAAAGCTTTTACTCGTAATTGGCTGGGATTAGTCAGGATGGGGAAGGGAGACATAGAAGAGAAAGCTAATTAGCTATTGTGCAGAAGACTGCTAATGATGATGACGGCACGCACCGTGCAGGAGACGGAAAAAGAGTCTGGTGCACGCAACAAGGAATCCTGCGCTAAAGTGAACACTTTAAGAGCTTCTCAGAATGTAGTTTCCTATAGAGCAAGTCTGGAGGGTTTTTCTTGTTTTTTACCTAGCGCTCGAACTGAAAGCACATCGATCAATAGGTGAGCAGAGGGCAAGGCATTGGAAGAGGCTGGATGACCAGGAAAGCTGCATGATGCGTGGGTGACTGAGTTTGACGACTAAGAAAATTTCCGTCAAGTTAAAGTTTCCACAGCTGGTCTTTGGTCTTTAAGTCAGAAGCGGCATTTAGCGAGCCGTTGCTTCTATTGCTAAGTCAGTGGCAAGCTCTATGGCAATTTTGTTGATGGTGGAGTAATGACACCCAATTAGTACTTCTAATAAACCCACAGTATCAAAAAAATTAAATGGCAACAATCAGCTTGAATACACAAAAAAGAAAATCTCACACAAAGACCTAGCTTAATGTAACTGACAAGCCCCCTTTTTTTGGTCTGTGTGTGTACTGCCTCAATCCTAATGATTATGCTTCCATCACTAAACTGTAATGATTTACACTATGACAGGGTAAAAGCATTGAGTAAAGTAGGCCATTCAGTACTACTGGAACACCCTTGAGAAAAGTCCTTGACTGTGAATATTATAGCAGCGAGCTACACTGACAAACCCCTGGTGGAATTGAAATGGAAGCCACAGCTCAGCTAAACATGCGCACACACACGCGCACATGCTAAGATACAAACACTTCATATTACGACCAATTCACCTTCAGGCTTCTGATGAGAGCGCTCTAAGCTACCTGTCTTTTTAACTGTTCTCAGTGCAGCCCTCAGAGGGGACGTCCGCCTGGCTGCCACCTTATCTCTGAGCTCCTCTCGGGGGCTGACACTCTGGCTGACTGACGCTCCCATTAATCACCGCGGGCAGGAAGGACTGATGCGATTAGTCATCTCATTGATTCGTGTGAAAAAAATAGCCTTTTGGAATGGGAGACGCTCCCGCTCACATGGCATTGATTTTGGTTCACCTCAATTTATTTTAATCACCTGCTAACTTGGACTCGAGGCGAAGGAGAAAGAGGCTATTCCCATCTGGTTTTTTTCCGAATTCCCAGGGTTACAAGGTTGCGTGTTTCTCTTTTGTTCAGGATTTGCATCGGAATATATTCTTTTTAATTCACACTTGCAGAAGTCAACTTCTGCAAGCATTCATGACAACATCTACAAAGGAAGGGAGGGATAAACATGAGTAGACTTCAGAATGCCACACCGCCCAAAGTGCTAATGATGAACTTCAAAAGCAGCTGAGCTGTGCTCCGGTCTTTTTCCCAGCAGCGGCCTGGTTCTGCCATGTGAAACTAAGTACCAACAAACATGTTTGAACACAACACCTGTGGGCAGAAAGGCAGGGAGGGAGGCTGCATCCTACCCACTAACAAGCGTAGCAGAGTCGATGTGGTGAATGGCCCGACGGGGCCAATCATCTACCTCAGTTCTGTATGCCACCAACCCTCCCTTTCCCTTCCACCCTGAAGGCTTTTGCACCCCCCTTCTTCTGCATTTGATCTCCTTTTTCGATTCAGCGGGAATGGAAATGTCACAGAAGAGGGAAAATAGGCATGGAGGAGGGTGCTACACAGCAGACTCCAGACCAAAACTCTGTTGTGTCCGGGAGAGATTACCGTTCTCGCAGTGTCTTCCTTCACGTCCCATGGGGCACTCGCATTTGTAGCCTCCCTCGGGCTGTGCCTGGCACTGGGAAGACGGATGGCACCTGGTGGGGCTGCACGGGTCGTGGACGTCGGCACACGTTAGACCTGGATGTAGACACAAAAATGTCAGAAGGGAACCACCAAGGAAACATGCAACAAGCGCCAACGTATTCAACCACTGACTCTTTTGTATTCCACTTGAAACGAGGGGAAGACAGAAAAAGGAGAGAGAAGCGGGTGTATGAGGATTTCCTCTGTAATAGAGGTCATTTTCTAATAGGATTTAGAAATATTACACGTCCAGATTAAACAGTGGAGAGCCTTCCTGCCACGCGGCCATGTTTCTAGGCCAACGCCGACTGTGGGAAAGGCTAGCAGGCGTCTGGTGGATGATGGGTTTGCCCTCTGCCACAGCCCATCTGAATTCACCCGTTATTACTTTAGCAGTCAGAGCCTGTGGTGAGGCGAGTGCTTTAATGAACCCCATCCCCGCTGAGCTCACAGGGCTCCCCCGTTTTCCTCACTCCTGCGTTTGGAAGCTGTATTTTATCCTCCACTCTTAGCTCCTCGCCACCATGGCTCTTTTTCACATCTAGTCTTCCTCTCCCGTCTTTTTAACTCTATTACTCTCTCCCCTCTCGCATTCATCCAGCTGTCCTGACATGCCCTCCCTCTAACTACAACTCTTCCCGCCCATTTGTTCTGTCTTCTCTCTTTCTGTGATCTGTCCTGTTCCTTCAAGATAGCCAATCTCGGCCACTTTTAAATGGACATCGTGACAAAATTAACTTCAATCTGAGGGCGCAGGCATCGGTCCAATTCTCATTAACACCATTTGTTGTACACTGGGTTGCTAGCATAACTTCTGTCACAGCAGTGCTTCTTCAGATTTACATGCCTCCCCAAGCTTCTCAGCACCAACAAAAACATAAAGGCAACAGTAATACAACGCAATACTTTATTGATCCACATTGTATATTCAAGGAAAACGGCTCTTAAACCTCGACTGACAGGTTGTTTCAATAACCATTAACCTGCCCCCATTTGTGGGTGAAATCCTTTACTATTCGAGCATAAAAGTTAGATCTGACAATTAAATTGCTTCTTGTGTGAAACTTTCCGCGGTAAGCTGCAGTATAACCAGCGAGGGGCACGCTTGGCTAGGCCCTGCTGGTGTCTGCTCTTAACTATATTCTCTCTCTCAGCTGCTTGTTAGTTGCCATCTGCTGGAGGGAGAAAAAGACGAGGAAAGGAACAGTGGAAGGAGAGATAGGCCAAAGGCCAATCACAGAGAATTAGTTCAAAGTTTTTCGTGTTCCTTGCACTGCGTCAACATTTAAACTCCCATTTCTGTGCTGGACACACAGATTTGATAGTGTTTACAAAATGACTTGCAGCGCTGCTGCTGGGGGCATGAGTTACACTGTCAAATTAGCCTGTCAAGCTTACTTAGGATTTGTGAGTCAGGCATGACCACAGTGAATCCCTGTGGAGAAGGCAACACTGAGATGTATTAGCAGAATTTTAACTACAAGGTGTTAGGAAAGTTTGAAGATTACATATGAATAAGGCATATTTTCTACTTATTTCCCCACGCTTATACTGGAACCAACTACTCAGAACTCCATGACTGTCCATAACTATTAGGAAAATCTGCTCAGCATCTTACCCCAGAATCCTTTGCTGCACTTGCAGTGGAACATCTCGGCCTCCTTCACCTGGCAAGCACCACCATTCTTGCAGGGATTTGGCAGGCAGGGGTTGTTGCCGCATTCACCCACCCCGCTGCCGTACAGACTTTCGCCCCCGTTCTCCTGCAGGTTGAGGTTCCGGTTGTTGACATCTAACATGCGGATGCAGCCCACCAGACCGACTGCCAACCCTGTCCTCTCCTTTACACTGAAGACAGACAGGGGGGAAAAAAAGTTACACTACTAAAGCTAACTGAATCACACTGAACCTGCAGTGAAGAAATGGCATACTCTATGAAGTATTATTAATACACTTCATTATATTTCCATAAAGGAAGGGCTAGATGAAGACTTTTCCAAATTCACCTCGGATGTTGACCTTTTTTTCTCGAACATCTGATCATTTCTGATCAAAATCGAACAAACTGGTTAATTACTACTATTACTGACACCGGCTTTGTACCAGGGATGCCACAATATCATATCACATAATTACAATCATTCACATAAATGGCATTATTTTAACCATAATTCCAAAAGAAGTTGGGACACTGTGTAAAATAGGTGTGTAATTAAAAATAATAATAAAATAATAAACATTTTATTTATATCACTTTCTCATATTTACCTCATATTTTATTCACAGGAAAACATGTGAAGTTAAAATGCACCATTTTAATTAAAACAAAAGGTCATTTTGATTGTGATGACAGCAACGTGCAGCATCACAAGAGAGACCAGTTTCCGGACTTTTGGGAGAGGAGAGTTATCCCATTTTTGTCTGATATAGGATTCCAGCTGCTGAACAGTCCTGGATCTTCTTTGTTATATTTTTATTTCATCCTCCCTATCGCTGCCAGTTCCACAGGCACTAATGCACCTCCATAGATCTCCTCTTTATTCTGGCGGACACAGCGTCCATGTTTTCCAAAAAGAGTGTCAAATTTCAAATCGGCTGATCACAGAACAGTTTTCCATTTTGTCTCAGTCCATTTTAAAGCTTTGACCCGGAGAAGACGACAGCGATTCTCGATCGTGTTCACATATGGCTTCTTCTCTGCATTGTAGAGCTTTAAGCAGCATTTGTATAGTTAAAGCTCAGACACAGTGATTTGTGTAAGTGCTCCTGAGCCTGTCCAGTGATTTCAACATACTGTGCCCCTCTTAGACACCCTTTTTAAACCCAATCACGTCACCGACCTCTAATATGATTAACCTAATTAGTTGCAAAATTGCTCCTCCAGCTGTTTCTTTTTAGTACCACTTACTTTTCCAGCTGCCCCTCTCCAAACTTTATTGAGACACTTTGCTGCGATCAAATTGTTCGAAGACAAATGAGCAAGATTTTTCATTAATCAGTAAAATGTTTCCTGTGTTTAGATTTGCAAGTCACACTGTCCCAACTTTTTGGGAATTAGGGTCGTACATTAATTGTACACGTATAAATAAACAGGTCAAAACACCTTCCATCAACACAGTGTTAACTAAAACAATATTACTAGCGTGGAGTGGGGGGCAGATAGTTTGAGTGTGTCCACAGGCTTGCAACTAATGACTCTAATACACTGCGATTTGATGCCTACTGTCCGTGTCCTCAGCTAGCTGCAAGCTCTGGGGCTGAAAAATGAAGCAAACAAAACAAATCCCAAACTGCCAAAAACTGCAATTCTTTGAACTTCCGATTGAAGCTGTACTAAAAGCAGATTCCTGTGTTTAAATTCCCAACTTTACAGCAAATTTATGACTTAAACGTTTCTACTAATTTTATAACATGAAGAATTTTTTTTTCATAAAAGCAATTTATTTTAAATATTCCCATATTGTTATCCTCCTACTCTTTAGTGCACTTCTATTAAGACCAATGGATGAACAAGCAGCAGATGGGGAAAAAACAAATGGAAGATGGGGCCGCGCTCTATGAAACCACTCTAGGCAACTATCCTCACATGACTTAACGGAGGGTACCAGATGAATACAAATAACGGCAGTCGATTTATCAAAAAGCTGCACATGGCTAATTTTTCCCTCAAAAGTCTCCGACTAGGTTACGGGCCACTGAAGTGGGATTAACATTAGTTAACTCTACACTGAATAAAAAAAATGGCAAATCAGCAAAATTAGCATAAACAGAAAACTTGATTGGTGCCGCTTGGAATTAGCTAGATACTGAATATATAAAAGCTGTAGAATGAAATATTAAAATGAGCCACAGATGATGGACTTTGTGTCTGCACATCACTATTAACACAATGGTGTGACTGTAACTGCAATTCCAAGGTCTTACTCTTGCTCGATGTCCTCAGGCACTCCTCCGATGAACAGGTTGGTGTCGAGGTTGAGGCCATCTGTGCCCCGTGGGCTCTCGCCCTCGATGTGTGGCTCGCTGTCCACGCTGAGCATGGCGTTTCGGCGGTTGCGAGTCACCACCAGCTGATGCCAGCGGCCTTGACTGATTTGAACTTTGCTGAGGGCCGTGCCTGTGCCCGAACCTGTGTTGAACCTGAAAAGGGATGATACAGAATAAGTTAGACACCTCACTTTACCAAAAAATCCCTCTATTTCTGCTGACTTTGATACTTTCATCAGGCAGGTATTTTATTTTTCAAAATATCCAACTTAACTACAATGACTACAGGAAATCTGCTCATAATGCTCAACAAGACAAAGGTGGAGGAAAGAAAGAAGATACAAAAGTGTTTATTTGGAATTTCAGACTGGAGCATGTGACTGGAATGACTGGAATCACATCCTCATTTTTAATTCAACCTTTTTTCTAATGAGGTTTTGTTGAGAGAAAAAGGCCGTATCATCACAGAAAAGAGCCGTCGTGTATGTGCACCCACACATATGGTAGCATTATCGCAACCTGAGAGCAATTATCTGCCACAAATAATTAGTTCTTCTCCCCACGTCTTGGATTTGCAGAGCTGTGGGTGGTAATCTCACAGCTGTATTTCTAGAATTGAGGCAGAGCTCTATTTGAAAGCACAAGTGACTAATGATCTCCTTTAGTTTGCTATTGATTTTACCCTGAATAGAGCAATCTAACCTGGCCAGGTTGGGAGAAACTGAAAGACCTTGCAAGGGTCAGGGTGAAATGTGAGAACCAGAAAGACAAGGGAAGCTAACATTAGAAATAAAAGGTCCGAAAAAGATGCACTGCAGCATCTCTAATTAGCTCATTCTTGTCTCTTCTGAAGATGTTCCCGTCCCCAAATGATTTTTTATTCATACGTCTCCGGCAGAGAGAAGAGATTAGTGCTAGTGTTTTTGCAGGTTTCTGGCAGGAAAAGTCTCGTCTCTCATGAGACTAGATAAGACCTGCAGTTACTGTCAGCTTCAGTTTAAAGTGTAATACTAGATATTTTGCCCACATAAAGCTCCAGTGTGCATGTTAAAGGGGCAAAACACCAGTTTTACATCAGGATCAATTTCCTAACGGTGACCCAGCCTGACTTTAAGTCTGCAAACATACTCCATCCATTCCATGATGGAATAAAAGCTGTAGATGGTTACCAAGAAGGGATGATGAAAAAAACATCATTATTTGTTTGGCTACATTTGATTATTTATTCTTCTATTTTTTGCTTTGGTCCTAGAGTGATACTGCCCCCACCAGTGTTGACAACATGCACAAAAACACACTTGTACCACTTCAAACCTGACTGCTACATGCACAGTTCTGATGGAAAAGAGTCATTTAAAGCATCTAAGCTGAAATTTCTTTCTCATTCGATACATCTGTAAATACAAACACCGCATTTTGTAAATACAGATTAGATTTTTCCTTTGTTTATCTGTGTGATTAAAGATAACATATAAAATGTGCACTTGGGACATTAGCATATATTCCCGAGTATATATTCCTTCCACCTGTAATCATGTGAACTGTAGCTTTTTCTTTTCCCGGCACAGCCGTTTTTCCGACATGTTTACTCACTGTAATTATTTGCCTCATTATCTTTAGTGCCGTCTCTTTGTTTTATTCTTATCTGCATCTGTTGTCAGCTGCTGCTGCAATGACCCGGTTTCATAGTGTTGATCATTAAAATTTCATCTTATTTTTGCCACGATGGATGTGAAAGTAAAAAGCCTACTGAATTCAATCAAAAAACAAAACATCAGGACCACTGATGTTAGCCGACAAGGTCCCTCTTAAATCAGCTGACGTTCACCTGAGCTCCACCCTGCCATTGACCAGAGCAAGAGAGATGAAGTCCTTCTTGCGATCCTGGCCGTTGTAGAGCAGGATGCCGTCCATCTCAGAGGCTCTGAACTCCATGGCGATGCGGACAGTGTGGTACGCGCTCATGGTTGGGAAGGCCAAGTAGGACTGGCCTCCAAATGACGGGATGTAGTACTTGATCACTGTGGAGGAAAGAAGACAACGAGACATTCTCGTCATTATTATGTGATTTGCTTAATTGCAGTGTGAGAGAAGCTTCATGCACGTTATGATGCGTGAGCGGCACGTGACAGAAAATGAGAAGAATTCTGTTTATTTTACAGGATTGATGTTTTCACCAAAGGCTTGATAGGTTTATCAAAAGCAGAAGGTGCAGAAAGAGGAGCCATCGTGCACAGTCTCACACGCGTGCACACACAAACACACACAGGAAATGTTTGTTTTTTGTGAATCTACTTGACAATTCTGATTATTATCATGCATTATCTCTCCTGGGCTCCTTTTTTTCCCACCGTCCATCTGTCTTCCTGTCCGTCTCTCTGAGGAGAACGGCATCTGATGAGCTCTCGCTTTTCTAATGACTTGATTGATCTCGGGGAGGCTGGTTGTGCAGTTTTGTGTGTATGCGTGCATGATTTCATTTAAGCACTCTAACGCAAAGATCCACACTGATTCTCACCAGCTAATCCCCATCAAAGCAATTAGTGTCAATTATCTTAAGACGCAGCTGCGTGAGGTTGCTCCCCATTTCAGAAAAATCCCAGAGTAGAGTAAGAGGGAAGAAAGGAAGGAGCTGCGCTTCTCTAAAAAGTTCTCCCAGGTTTATGGTTTTCTCTGCGGCCTCGGCTGGATTTTGTGTAGCCTTTGGTGCACGGCTCAGTGGTCGCTCATTTCTGAGATGTTGGGCCTGTCTGAATCACTCGAGATGAGCTTGAAGCGCAGCAGTCGGGGAGAAACTCAATCACACCTCAGCTCTTTATTTCCAAGGGTTTTCTTTTTTCTTCAACACCGACCGTAAAACTGACACTCTGTACAGTGCTGTGATTGCTCGCTGATAAACCGTCGAGCTTTATACGATCCAATAAATCCACATCTGTGGCCACATAACATTTCATTTACATATTTCAAAGCTAACTGAAAGTCATTACTCCCACTGCCAATTAAGGTGTCACCTTGCAGACGCTACAACCACGCCAAACCAAAGCATGACGCGGAGAAAGCATTTCTTCTTTCGCTTTAAAATAGCGTTTTATTTGATCAAGTGTTTCTAATATTTGATTTTTTTCCTATTATAATGGTATGTTTCTGCTACTTTATAAATACATCAAAGCACTTGAAGATGTGGTTAGTAGTGATTATAAAACAGCTAAAAAGCATGATTGGCACAATGAAAAATGGAGTGCCTAAAACCCACTTAGCTGCTGCAAAATCTCTGTAACCGTTAGCCTTTGGTGGGTTCTTTGAAATTGCTAATTGCAAAGTAGCAAATTACAGGGAAAGTCTGTCTAAGCTCATTTTCTTAGATGAGTCTGAAATAAGCCGAGACTTTGAAACTTTTGATTTAAGAGTAATCAGAAATATGGCAAAAGATAAAGTTCCTAAAGAAAATGAAAACTCTGTGCTGACCCACCCTTCTCGCACACAGTCCCTCCGCGGCCCGCGGGGCACTTGCAGTTGAATTCGCTGCCGTTTTCCTCGCACGTGCCTCCGTGGAGGCAGGGGTGGGAGTCGCAGGGCTTCTGCAGCACCTTGTGGTAAGGCCTGGTTGTGAAGCGGGCAACGGTAGTGGCTGGAGGCAGGGCAGTAGTGGTTAGAGGCGAGGTAACCGGCACCAATTTATGTCTGCCGCTGAAGGGCCTGCGGGTGGTGGCTGTCGGTCGACGGGTGATGTAAGGGGAAGTTGTAGGAGGCCTGGTCGAGGTGGTGGGAGCAGCTGTGGTGACCGACGCTGTGGTGGTAGTGGTAGTGGTGGTGAAGATGGAGATGGAGGACAGGCCTGTCAACAGAGGTGGTTGGAGAACAAAAGGATTTGGAAAAAGGAAATAAAAGGGACATTAAAGTATGTTGAGCCTGCGGTTCTGAGACTTTCTATTCAAGACCTGTAAAACCTTTGATAAACTACCTCATGAATAACTTAAAACTCCCTTTCATTTTATTAATCCCTACACACTCCTGTTAAGTCCACACTGTATTACCATAATTGGTGAAGCGAATATTCTCATCCTCCGGCTTCTTCACAGAGATGCTGGTGTCTTTGGAGGCCTTTAACTGTTTCAGCAGAGCTCCTACGATGTCCTCCACGGTGAATCTTGTATCTACAACAAACAAGAGGTACAAGCATTTAGAGCAAGGCCTCCGAGGAGCACTCCAAAGCAAATACAAGGCTTGAGCTCCTTAAATGTTAAAAGGGATATATCAAACAGCCCTATGTATGACAGTTGGGAGGGTCTCCGTGGACCACTTGTCCTCCAGCCGTTGATTGTCCGGCTTTTTTCCAGATGAATTGGTCTCATAATGTTCGCCGCAGATGTTTGCTTTACAGGCCATGGAGGAGCGGCACATAACGGCACCCGATAACCCACGTGAAGGATATCAAGGACACTAAATGAGGCTCATAAAACGATGGAATAAAAATAAAAAGGAACGGAGGAAGCTGATGTTCTGTGTGGTAGTTTAAAGAAGCAGCTGCTGCATATGACCCAAGATCCAAGAAAAGTATTGTAACATGATGATATTTAGACAATACCCAATTCCTTAGATATCCTGCAGGTCCTGCAGGTTTTAGATGTGTCCTTGATCCAACACAGTTGATTTAAATGGCTATATAACCTGTCTTGAAGTTCTCCAGATGCCTGGGAATGAACTATTTATTTGATTCAGGTGTGTTGAACCAGGGTTATATCTAAAACCTGCAGGACACCAGCCCTTGAAGCCTGGAGAGCCCCACCCATGGTTTAAAGCACGTGTTGTGCAAATTTCAGAAAGCAAGACTATCCAAGCTCATCTATTTACAAGATGCCTATTTTTCTACTAAAAATGTATTCATATCTCACACACCCTCCTCGCTGAAAGCCAAATGCACAAAGCTCATCTATCTCTCTTTAAGGATCTCTCACCTGGTTTGAAGTGAGCCTCGACATAGGCCAGGATGGAGTTGCTGGGCGCCAGGTTACGGACACGAACGCTCATAAAGTCTTTGTGCACCGCCGACTTCCTGAACAACTCATTGAGCTGAGGAGAAGAGAGAGAGAGCGAGAAAGAGTGGGAGGAGAGAACGGACAGACAGAGGAGATGATAAATGAGGCCGGTAATGAGCTCCACGCTATCACGGCAGCGAGTCCAATTCCAGAAGACTGTACCCTATCTCTGAGGAAGAAAGAAGCTGCCTCTCAAATTGGGGTGCATGGAAGGAACCCATTGGGTGTGGGTGCACAAATTGACATTTAGCTGCTGCCCTGGCATTAATTATTGGAACAAGTTTTCAGGAGGAGCTAAGATAAATGTTGAGCTACCCTGACATTATGATTGGTTTTGCTACTGATGCTCGTTACTGTGTGCACGTTGCAACAGCCTGAAGAGCTCTTTATGAGGTTTGACTGAAGTGGGATTTTTTAAAATCAGCCAACAGTGATATTTTAACAGTTATAAATACTGACGCTGCCTTTTAACCCCAAATCTGGATGAGTATTTTCTCTTAAAAATGGGCCATTTTTATGCTAGAAGTAAAAAAAAAAAAAAGAAGTTATGTGCACTAGTTTAAATTGTGAATTTATCACATGATGTGATTCTTTTTATTAAAAGTGACCTATTCATGATATGTACACTGTAAATCAGCAAGTCCTCAGACAATAATGAGGAAAAACATTTAAAAAACAAAAACAAAAAGCTGCTAATCAGTGACAATGAGTGACTGAGTGGACTTTGTTGAGTTTGAGGATTCAGTTTGTTAAAGATGATTTCCTTCATGCATTAAATGTCTCTAATTTGTGGGCTGAGGTGTGACAGCAAAGTCGAAAAATAAAATCCTCCAAAACTGGCTTAGTCACGGTGGGCAAACTCTCCCGTGGACACACGGTCCTCAAAACCACCTGGTCTTTCTTTTCCGCTTCCTTCTCTTTCTCTTCCACGTGTTAATTTATCTGCAAATTACAACAGGTTGTTCTGTCAGTGAAACGAGCGGCGGGCTGATTCGCCTTCTTTCTATATACCCGTACGTTCAAGTGAATGTGTCCTGGCGTGTATGCTCTGCATGTGCTCAGTGTGTGTGCTGGAAGATGAATAGGGGGTGGTTGGCGTCAAGTGGCACACTAGGCTTCAGAGACACACAGGCTGATAGTGTTAATGAACACACATGCACGTACACACACACTCACAAATCACTGTGAGGTAGAAGATTAGGTCCCAGTGGGGCATAGTGACACTAATTCAACAGCTGGTACATGTGTACTGTGTACCTAAGCGCGCGCACACACACAAACACACAAAGTTCCCATTTCATCAGAGGAGCAAGACCCTGGCTTGACAACAGAGACATTTGTTCAAAGGTCTAAGCTCAACATAGAAAACGGACAGTGGAGAAATTCAACCAGGGTAACCAACACGAGCCAAGCTGTGATTACTGTACAGGCTCTGTGCCCGCCTGGGTTTTGGCTACAGCTACTGGCATCGTGACCATCCAAACTTATGAGACTCATATCCAGAATAAGGACTTGAGTTTTCAAATAGCTGAAAAATCATAATTAATCTCACATGAAAAGCTGCTTTTTGAATACTGTGAAGTGTCTGGCAAGCAACTGACAAATTATTCTTTAAACAAGTCTGCAGAAAGCTGTTATTTATTTATTTTATGTATTGGTCTTAAGCTTGAAGAATTTCTTTGCCTGTTTATTTAGGCCACATTCTTTGGACGTTATTAATACTTCTGTAGGTAATCTAGATGCGTATAATATATATATCGTATAAGAGTACCATAATACCCATCCATATATTATAATAGTATAATTCTTTTAAGTATATATATATGGTTGTGTGGTGCTGTACGTCGCTGTGTGTGTGTATATCTCTGTGTAGATATGTATATAAGTCTCTGGAATTCCTATTTTGATGTAAATGTTCAGGGGAATAAAGGAAAAATAGAATGGTAAATCTTAATATCTTCACCTGTGTCAGGCAGGTACATCTGAAAATGTTATTCAATTTCTTTACATATTCATGTCTACAGATCACAGATTATAAGAGAATTCTAATATTCCCCTTTTATTAAAAATCAAATATCAGATAGGCCACGTTGTCTGCCTCTGATATGATGTATGTTCCTCTCTAAGTGCAGCCAGCCAGCAAAATGTGTGGTTTCTTTTTTTTTTTCCTTTCTTTTTATCATTGTTGTTTTTTTCTATCAGATGTCAGAGCACAGAAATCACTCCAGCTCAGTGTGGCAGAATATTACTCAGCTACTTCAGGGGTGTCAAGTCTGTAAAACGTGCGATGAAACCTGCCTGAAGGAGCTGAAAGAATCTGATTAGTCTGGCTCTCGGGAAGAGTTTTAGTGTGACACGATGCTTTGAGTGTTGTCTGAAAAGGTTTCCACTCATGACAAGAACATTCTTGGGAATACTAGGAACATTTTTTAGCATTACTCTCCAAGCTTCCCTAATGGCAACAGTGGCAACTGTCATTTGAATCAATTACATCAAAGCAGTTTTAATTTATACTTTTTCTGGACACTTTTTTGACACTTGAGGGCAGCAGAACAAGCTGGAAAAACAGCAAAGGGCATTAGGACATTTAAAAGTACTTTAAACCTCATTAAAAAGCTTATTTAAAAAGCTGAGAGCTAGCAAAGGGCAGTATAAGCTGAGAGATGTAAATGTGGATTCTTTAATCTATTAATTAATCATGAAATCGTGTGACAGCAAATTCAGCCACTTACAGCGCCCTCTATGCTGCGGGCTGTCTCTCCAAATAGCTCGGACTTGGGGTCCTCCATCTCAGGTGTGTAGATAAGGTCCTGGCCATCCACCTGGTCCAGGTGCAGGGAACCGCTGAACCTCATGGTGGCTGGAAGAAGAAGAGAAGATACAGAAACACTGTGGCTCAAGCCCTCTTCTTTCACTCATTCCCCGCTGCCATCCCCCTCGTTTCAGAGCAGTGCCAGTTTTGGGTTAGTGATGGATTGTGTGTTTGTGTGTGTTTGACAAGGAGGGGTTAGTGAAGTGTGTTGCTGATCGTCTGGGGCTTTAAAAAAGGTCTGGAGTTTGGCCATTAAAGGTAGAGGCGGTGGATTTGTGGTGGTGGAACAGGTGGACTGTGAAATATGACAGAAGAGACGAACAGAAGGTGGAAAAATGGGCCAGTTTTACCAGACCGAGACTCGTCCCCAAAGCTGGCCGTGCCATGGAGGGCTGGGTAAAAAGACAACAAGTTAGACAGACACACAAACACATGGAGGAAAAAAACAACACACACTAAAGTGAAAGCAACCCACGGGCACTCAAAATAGTGCCTTCCTCAGCAAAGAGAAAGCCTCCCTGTGCGACCTTGGGGGTTATGTTGTCCGACATCTATCAACTCTATATGGTTTCTCGGTACTGCCGCCAGAGAGGTGCAGTGCGATATAAAGCTGAAAGTCGAAGGTGTTTATGTGTGCGGTGGAGAACGGAAGAGTTTCTGTGCCGCTCATAATCAGCAGAACAAATTGCCCAAATCAATCATGGCTGCCCCTGCCTGAGCAATGCCAGAGAGAACAGGACGAGCACTTGTATGATTATCGAGAAAGATAGTCATAATTGTCTCCTTAATGCAGGCGGACCCATGACTGACACAGCCTGGTTAAAATTGCATGAAAAGGACAGCAGAAACTACCGATACACACACAGGCGCGCGCCGCCGCCCTCTCGCTCCCCTCCCTCACCATCTACAGTACTTTCACGGGCAGCACACATCGATTCACAAGTGACGGTGGCCATAAAATAGAGGCAAATGGGCACAGTTTGGAGAGGGGTAAAGACAGAAAAGAGAGGGGGGACAAGCGAGATCTGACTTCTAATCTGCAAAGAAGACAAACATCAGAAAGGGTGATTTTCCAGACCACTGCCGTGACGGACGTAAAGAGAGGGAAAGAGAGTGATAAAAAGACAGACAGAGCTATTTGGCTATCAGATTCTAGTGAACTGTAAAATGTAATGGATATGTCAGACTTCCCCAGGCATATGGAAGAGTTTATAGTATCTGGAGCTCAGTGTGCCAATAACTTTCACATTAGCATTTGGCAATTATCCCCGATGCCATTAAATTTAACATACGCAGGACCTAGAGTCATTTTTTTATATTACACTATACTGGGAAATATACCCAATGCAATCTATAACCAAGGTGTTTAATTTTTTTTAAATATGTCAGTGTGGGCTAAACCAAACCTTGAGCCTTTTCCACATGTGATGTCCTAATAATCTGAACAACGAACAATTATTTTTTCCCCCCGTGAGACAGCCCGTCAGATATCAATAAACTGTGTCGTACAATGAAATAGCAGCCGATGCACGAGGCAGAGGGATGTGTCATTTCACTTCTAATGAGCGGGAGATTGGCTGAGGCCTTCTCGGGAGAAGAAAAAAGAAAAAAAATCCAGCGTATTGATCAGCTTATCGCGCAGCTCGGTTTTATTGGTAATAACACTTGAGCTGAATGAAGTATCGATCGCCGGTGTGCCGTCATTGTTAGCTGGGATAAATATTTACAGGCTTTTGCAGATTCGTTTTAACAGTTCTCTTGTAGCCCGAGCTTGTTTCTATCATCAGCCGGATTCGAGGCTAAATGTCACAGGGTTCAACCTCGACAGAACCTTTCATGTTTCACCTCTCCCTGCCTGTAAATTCTGTGAAAGAAATAAATGGCGTAGGGCTCTGGATGGGCAAAGGTGGCCTCATATCTTTAGGTCATGTTGCAGACTGAGTGGCAGTAAATTCTGCTGGTTTATTGAAAGGCTTAGGGGACCTTCACCGTGCCAGAAATGCAACTCCATGCACTAATTTGTGGCCCGAGCTCTTTCAAGTCATGACCCAAAGCTCCCCCGAGAGCCAGAGTGAATCCCTCTTTTCACAATCAGTCAGACTACCACGGCTAGGACAAATAGACGGCAGATTTCAACCGAGGGATGGAGAGAGAGAGAGATAGAGAAATGAAGGGAGAGAGAGAAGCCCTTTATCTTTATGAACTGAGTGTGGCAGGAGTCACTGATTGGTACAACAGCGCTCGTCGGCCCCTTCTAGTCTCTGGGCTCACTCGCTGCTCAACTCCAGAGAGAAATGAACTGATGCAAGACTGGATTGAGATTGACTGGTTTGAGAGAGAGCGAGAGACAGAGAGAAAAGGTGACAAAGAGCTCAGAAGGGAACTAAGGAACAGTGGCGCGGACTGATAAAGAGAAGAGCGCACGTGAGGGTGCAGGGGTGCGAATTCAAGAGGAGAGGGAGATTAAAAGAAAAGGAGCGAGGGTGAAAGAAGAGAGGAAAGAGCGTTCAAGAGTCTCGAGCAAAACAAGAGAAAAGGAAACTCGCTGAGGATCTGTTGGTTATGACTAATATCAGGGCGAGACTGCAAAGTGTTGCAGAATTCATAAAAATGGATTACCAAGGTCAGACTAATGGTTTCACTGTTTCTGTTTTTCTTTTTTTTTTAAATTTCCTGCCACCTGTCAATAAGCTCATTTACATATGATAGAAGTGATTCATAAAAACACTGCTGCAGAGAAAAACCAAAAAACACCACCTGTTCTGAACAATTAAGCCAAACGCTCCGATATCCCGATTTGTAAAGTCAACATTAGAGGTGTAACACGAGGCAAATGGTGGCTAATGTTTAGAAACACGATACTGAAAATTGGCCCTTTGCCCGACTCACCGAGCGAAACAGCAGCGGCGGTCGAGCGAGCTAGATAATGACTGAATCAGTGAAGACAGGGAGCAGGCTTAGAGTCAGGAATGATGGTATGTTTTGATTCTGGTGGCACAAAGAAACGCATCCACTCTTCCTGTTGCGCGGGATGGTGCACACATTGTGCGACTGTGTGTGTGTTGGCGACAGACATTCAGACTCGCAGCTATTTATACGTTTCTTACCTAAACAGCGAGCAGAGCAGAGAGACGGAAACAGCCATATAAGCCGGTTTCCATGTTTTTTGTTTGTTTTTTTACTTCTGTCCTCATATTCTGTGTGCTACTATTGGCCGGCGCCTGTGCTATCCACCTACAGCCAAGCGACTGCATCCCAGAAACCTTCTGAACACAGCAAAATCAGAAGAAATAGGTCTCCACAGATAAAACTCCCACACACTTTATATGTCATAAGTGATGATTAAGGAGGATTTTTTACTGTATATTATACTTTTAAATATTTATATATATTGTTGTTCAATTTTCACATGTCAGCAAATGAATACAGACTGAAATAGATGGAAAGCAGTGCCTCTCTGAATCACGACACTGGCAGACTGACAATGACGAGTAGTTGATTTCTTGCACTTTTGTGCAATTATTCTGACTGTGTTTCACGAGTTAACTGAGAGTCACTTTAATTATTGTAATAACAGAAATTGTCCTCCGACACAGTATTCCTTAACAATATGTTGTGCGGATAACTCTGTCTGGATCAATAATCCATTGCAACACTATTTTTAGCATTTTGCACTTTTTTTCCCCTCTAAAGCTCAAGACAGCATATCAATTACTGATGTCTGGGGCAAAACAGCGCGAGGCCACGCAAACAGAGGAGGACGACAAGGACTTCCTCAGGCAGCAGAGGTTACAGCTGGAAAATTTGGGTTTTTGTTTTGTTTTCTGCTTTAAATATGGAGCTGTGACACGATTAGTTTGGAGGAAGAAGAAACTGCCAACAAGTCCCTCTGAAACCGTCGTTACCACATTTGAGTGTGTGTGCTTGTTAAATAAGGTGACACAAAGCGTTCAGTGGTGAGCTTTGCAGAGAGATGTGTTAGCTGCTCTCTTCTGCTTGCAGCCTTTACACTAAGCTAATCACCTCCTGGCTCCAGCTCCATACTTAATGCACAGGCATGAGAGCGGTATCAGTCTTCTCATCTCACTATTGGAGGGAAAGCCAATTACTTTTCTCAAAAGACCCATGAAAGGCGCCCTCCATACAAACAGAGCCCGAGCTTCTGCGACTCAAAGCAAGAGCTACAGAAGCTGGTGAAACAACAGCAACAGACAGAAGACAGCCGGGAAGATGTTTAGGTAATTAGAGAGTAAAGAAAGTCTTTTTCAAAGGTGTGCTTGACTTACAGGGGCAGTTGGCGCCCTCTGGAGTACTGGATGGTGTCTTGCCATCAGGGCAGCAGCCGAACTCTGTGTTGTCGCAGGACGACCTGTCCTCAAGTGTGGGTAAAGTGGTGCTCGCCATTGTGGGACCTGAGGGCGATACACAGAGGCTCATAATAGTTCATGAAAAGTTACAGCTTATGTAGGAAACCCAGAACAGAGCTACAATTTTTAGGCACTCAACACCAGCAGTGATTCCAAGGTCAAAAACCTACAATTCCAACTTTCTCTCGCGTCTACACTCGTTTGTGTGTTTGTTTTAGAGTGCTGACCAGTGATTGGACACTAATAAAGGCATCTGTCAGGAGTGATTATATGGCATTTTCACTGGAACTGATTGTACACCTGGATCTCTTTTTGTCAGGTAGAGAACACTTAATGGGGAGTGTTGCCAGTCAACTCACACATGGCTCACTTTTAATGATGGGAGGATGTGATAACTGCTCGCTGCAGATTGGGTGAGTTTTACCTTCAAGGAGTCCCAGGAGGACAAAAACAACATACACTCGTGTTTGTGTTACTGTCACTGCATATCTGGCTATCTTGGGACATTACAGACATAAAAGTGGCTCGGCTTGCTCTATCTGAAGAATGAGTGTGTATATAACAGCGGCGAGCTTCGGTCCACTCTAATGATGGTGTTGGCGGAGGGGGAGTCGTCTCGGTGTCGAGGCGGTGCACTTTATGGCCGCGGAGAGATTAGAAATAATCGTCGAGGCAAACAGCTAGCGGCTAAACAAGCCATAAACACGTCAGAGGCGAGGGACGTCCTTCTCAAGGACATGCGGTCAAAGGATGTGGAAGGAGGAGGGAGGAGGGAGAAGGGGGCGGGGCAGAAGGTGGGAGGAGGCTGGGGTTTATGGGGCATCTGCTGGCATGTGGTCTGCACATTTACAGAAGCATCGGGCAGTGCAACTCCTATGGAAGCCATGAAAGCTGTCAAATAAACACAGATAAACACAACGACAAATACACACACAGATTTGTTCGGATTGCAAAAATACCACAGGCACAAAAATGTGCAAATGTGCACCACTGACCTACTCACATTTGTATGCTCAGATGGTGACATGTGCACTCTGGATTGGACAAACACAGTGACACGAGGAACAGGAGATAAGACTAACACACACACACACACACACACACACACACACACACACACACACACACACACACACACACACACACACAC